TTGGTGCCCTTTGAGCTAGCTTGATTTCTTGCAGATGTTTCATTATCGAAACTAGGTAACATCATCAGGGCTAGTGTTCATTACCTAGTGTGGGTAATGAAACATCTGCAAGAAAAACAACCAAGCTCAGACAGCACCAAGGACCACTCGTTTCAATCCTGAACTACAAATATTCTCCTTTATTGGAATCTATTAATATAAGTTATAATAGAGTTAGTATTCATGATTGTGCTTCTTGTCTGGACTACCTTGAAATGCTAACATTAATACCATTGCTTTGCAAGCTGCAACGGGCTCCCAAATGAAGTTCAAGGTGCTGAATTTTTCCTATGAAACCTTTCCTGGCACAGGATGTAGTGATCCGTAGAATCTCCTGTCTCCAATTAATTTTGCCCATCCAATAAAATCTGATAAGTTGGGCAGGCTCCAGATCCCATCACTTAAGTAATCCTGTCTGGTGAGACCCAGGAGACTCTCTTCTCTGTCAACATGCCTGCCAAATGGAACAGCATTGCTAACATTCAGATGGTCTGGAGCTTGCCTGATTTTCAAAAAGCATTGAAGACCTGTTTTTTCTCCTAGGCACTGGGCGGTGAGGTTTTTAACTCTTGTCTTGACAGTCTCTAATGATTTCTGCTATGTGTTTTGTTGTTTGAAGTTGTACGGGTGTGATTTAATTTAATGATTCTGATCATTTGTTTTCAACTTTGCACATCACCCTGAAAAACCCTGTCAGTCACACATCATTTGGGCAGCTCTACTGTATAAATTGATCTAAAGAAAAAATAATAATAATTACAAAATAGTGTCATATTTCCAGAATGCTTCTAGAGGAATTAAAAACAATAACTAGTCTGCATTATGTTTATCTTATAAAACCTACCAAGTACCCCAAGTTAGATCTAAAAGGAGCTAATTGGTACTTTTAAAAGCAGAAAAAAATCAGAATCAGAATGTAAGAGTGGAAACAGGCAATGTTTTGTCAGTTGAAAAAAAAAGGTTTTGGCATACCTTTCAAACAAGGATTTGAAACTGTCTAAAGAAGCATCTAATAAATTTAACAGTATTTTAAAAATTTGACATTTTGACCTCAAGATACTTGGAACAGAGATTAGCTCATTCCACAAGCAACCAGATCCATTCATGCACATTTTTTTAAAAAAAAAATCTTATTAAATAGAAACATAAATTGGGATGAAATAAAAAGATCATTTTACTTTTAAAAAATAGTTCAATAACAATAGACAACTTGTCTATAATAGAATAAGCTTGTCTATTCATAACTTTAATCCTACTCAGATAGATTTCAAAAATATAAGTTTATAGTTTAACTGTAATGTTTTGACAAGCAAGGCTTAAAATACTTATGTTACCAATAGAATCAATGTATTGATGTTGGTCTTTTAAAAAAATACTCCATTTTTTTAAGGATTTTGCTCTTACCTTCTGTGAGACCATTGTGACAATGCTTTGTCCCTGAAATCCTTAGGTTCCCCCCCCCTTTTTTTTTTACATGTAGTCCTTAAACACTAGTAGCCTTCTCACTCCTGCAGTATACAAGTTTTCCCCCATATATAAAATCTGCTTTTCAGTTTCCAGAATTCTCAGCAATGGCCATTTTCAGACCTCTTGAAAATGGAAAATGACCCACTTTGAAAAATACCAATCAAAATCCAAAAACTTTGTCTTCTTCCCTTGTTCTTGCCATCCCACGCTTTGGATATTTTAGAACTATGGAACTTTTTCCATCATTAGTTGGAATTAGATTTAAAACAACAATTCCATAGAGCATGTAGTATTTTATTATGATTTGTCTTAAAAATCTAGCTATTGCTACCAATGAACAGAGGGCCAGTTTTGTGTAGTGATTAAGGCACCAAGCTAAAAATTAGGAGACCATGAATTCTACTTCTGCCTAAAGCACAAAACTAATTGGGTGATCTTCAACCAGTTATTCTTTCTCAGGCCTAAGGAGGAGGCAATGGCAAACCATTTCTGAAACACCTTACTAAGAAAACTGCAGGCACTAATTTAAGCACTCTCCAGAAGTCAATACTGTTTTGAAAGCACACAAAAACACACACACATGCACACACACACACACACACACACATCTTAAACTACCTGCAAAAGAAGATAAATGAAGGTTATACAATCCCATTCCTTGTTCAGATTCTAATTCTTTTTCTTTTCACACAGCAAAATGGCATATCTTGGCTTGATCTTATCACAACCACTCTCAGAAGAAAAAAAAGCCACACAAGACACAAGTTTTCTAACAAAGAAATTCTAAATAAAACTTTTAGCAACAATTCTAAGTTTTAAAACCGCACTGGAGCATAAACTAGCTTTATTTGTATTGTATAAGTCTTTGAGAATTATTCTGTGCTCACTCCATTCTTCATGGAACAAATGGTTTTATTTATTTTCTTTACCTGTAGCCGCCCATTTCAGACAAGTAACTCTGGGCAGTGAACGATAATGAAGTTCTTAACAATGTGCTTCAACATTAGTAGAGTATAAAAGGTATGTTGACACATTTGCACTATGCTACTTATAACTTTTTCCAAAAACTCAACTACTTTATTTTCCAAAGCACCAGAAGGCAAGACAAGAAACAATGGACGGAAAGTAATCAAGGAGAGAAGCAACCTGGAATTAAGGAGAAACTTCCTAACCGTGAGGACAATTAACCAGTGAAAAAGCTTGCCTTCAGAAGTTCTGGATACTTCATCACTGGAAGTTTTTAAGAAAAGACTGGACAGCCACCTATCTGAAATGGCATAGGGCTTCCTGCATGAGCAAGGGGTTGGACTAGAAGACCTCCAAGGTCTCTTTCAGTTCTATTCTGATTGAAATTAATATATCTTAAAAAATCAGTGATTAGGGTCCACTAAAACTATTCTGGCATAATTAGAGGCTCAGTGCAATACTGCCATCTCCTGGAAAGAGATTTGGAGGCTGGAATGTCTCTAGATCAGTGTGTTTTTCCAATTTGGCAACTTTAAGACTTTTTAAAGTTAGTGCTTTGCTATAATGAGTTGCACTTGTATATCAGCTTAAGATTTAAATAAATTGTTCAAGCTGGGATGAAGCATGCTCCGAGTCTTCATTGTGAAACAATGTCAAGTGGTAGGTCCCAGAAGTATGCCTTCTTTGCCCTTTGCAACCCTGAGAAACAGATGGCCCCCACTATATTGACCTTTCAGAAGGCTGTGAACACCTGAGTCTTCCATAGGCATTAGTGCTGGGATGTCAATCATAATTGCTCTGGCATGGGTATATGTGGTCAATAACTACTGGGCTTCTTTTGGATTCTTGGCTTGGTTTCTTTTGATTTTAGTGTTGCTGCCTTTATTATTTTTATGAATAACTCAAACATATCCAACACACTTTCCTCCTATTTTCCTCACAAGAACCCTATTAGGTGAGTTGGGCTGAAAGTTACTGGCCCAAAGTCACCCAGCTGGCTTTCATGGCTATGTTGGGACTAGAACTCATAGACTCCTAGCCTGATGCCTTAACTACTAGACCAGACATGTCAAACTCACGATGTCACATGATGTTGTGCAATGTATCGGAGCTTTTTCTCCATTGCCGGCAATGTGGTGGGTGCAGTTTCCTCATGACGCATCCGGCCCATGGGCCGGCAGTTTGACACCCCTGTACTAGACCAAACTGGCTCTCTTTTAATAATTCTGATTTAATAATTAAAATTAATTTTAATTAAATGCTTTGCTTTTTTAGTTCAGTTTCCTATTCAGTTTCCTTGGATGGGCAGCATATGAATTGGATTGCTAAATACATAAACATGGAAAGGTAAAAGAGTGTAAATTTGGAAGTGAGGATAAACAACCCTAAACAGGCTAGAGACCATGAGTTCTAATCTTGCCTTAACCATGAAAACCAACTGGGTAACCTTGGCCAGTCACTCTCTCTTAGCCCAACTCACCTCAGAGGCTTTTTGTTGTGAGGACAATAAGAGGAGGAAGTGTGTTGGATATGTTCACCACCTTGAGTTATTTGTAAAAATAATAAAGGCGAGATGCAAATAAATAAAGTGAAATAAAACCTTGAAATCTTCCTTGCTGGCTTCCCCATTAACTTTGCTTGAGGCAGAGAAGACTGCAAATGGTGATTGCATGTCTGTGGGATGGTGCAACCTGAACCGTGATCATATGAATGGTGTGACAGCCGGAACTTTTAAGTAACAAAAAGGAACTGGCTGATTGAATGAGCTATCAGCCAGTGGAATGGGTTGACATATGGAGTGGTGAGTTCTTCACTAGAGGTCTTCAATCCAAGGTCGGATGAATCAGAAATGCGGTAATGGATGCAATAAGCAGGGGGTTGAACCAGATATCTATGCCATCCAACTCTGATTCTATGGCATTAATCTGACCGTTTTAAAAAGTGGTGATAGAAATCTGCATGACCCTTTCTTTAAGATCAAAGAAATATACAAGATCCTCACATACTTCAAATATTCATTCTTCATTCTTAACATGATTCCATCCCTCCCTGATGGGAGTGAAGTACCCATATTTACTCTGGGGATCCATAATGGAATTTTCTGCATCCTTCTAAAAATGAATGTAGATGCTAATTAAGAGAGGAAAAGCTAGATGGTAAGTCCTTTCTGTGCATGTCTTTTCTTTTACTCTTGGGCGTGAATCAGGCTTCTTTCTATCTTTATTCTTCAAAGGAAACAAGAGCCCATCTCCTGTGCTTCTGCTGAGTTATCCTTGTTATTGTCTATATCAGTGATGGTGAACCTTTTAGAGACCGAGTGCTCAAACTGCAACCCAAAGCCCACTTATTTATCGCTGGGTGCCAGGTGGCCATGGCCCACTGGATAGGTGTGGCTGTGGTGGTCATGGCAGATTGGGTGGGTGTGGTCACTTCAATGTTGCTCGTGGGGAGGGATGCCTGTGAGGGCTGGGCAGTGTTGCGGGAGATCCAGGGAGTCTCTGGCAGGTGGGGCGGTGGGCAGGAGGCTCGTCCTACAGGGTGAGGCAAGGCAAGGCAAGGCGGGGGTGCCATTGTCGCAGGGAAAGGTGAGGCACAGGCCAGGGCGGCTGCTGCCTGACACCATCGCCCTCCCCCCGCCTCCGCACAGAGAGGCCAGCGAGCGCATGGGTGCTGGGATGCAACCGGCCAAGTGGGACTTTGGTGACTTAGCAGGCAGCTGGTTGAAGAGAGACTGTTGCCATCTCCGGGGCATGGCACGCATGCCCACAGAGAGGGCTCTGAGTGCCACCTCTGGCACGTGTGCCAGAGGTTCGCCACCACTGGTCTATATTGATACATAAATATTCTGAAAGAGAACATTACATTCCACATGGCAGCAATTTGTTGATTGGTTGAATTATATTTAACATAAAGAAACAGCTCTTTATGTAGGTGTAATCAGTTTTGGATTGCAGAGGAATCGAAGTGCAGTTATCCCAAGCTGGCTTAATACTTTCTCTTTCGAATTTCATCAGACAGGGGATGAAGTAGGCTGCAGTCCATTCTGTAATGCATGCCTAAATTTTAAAGACACTGCTTTGGGGAACGATACTCACACCTTCAAGCCAGCAAACTTGGGAATCTGGGCAGCGATCTCTCAAAGACGGAATGGCCGCTTTGGCCCCGCCCCACTCCCGACACGCCTCGCGCTCAGCGGACTTTCCGTAGGCAAGATGGCGGCGCCCACGCTCCGGGTTGGAAACCTATGGCTTCTTTCGGCTCGGAGAGCAGCAGCGCTGCCTCGGCTCCTGGTTTCGCAGGCGCGGCGGCAACGTCATGACCAGCGGCCAGACGCTAGGCCGGTGCCTGGTTCGCCCGTGGCGAAGGGGCTCTTAGCCACCCAGTACCAGCGCGGTCTGTTCCAGGAGGTGTTCCCGCCTCAGCCCGCCGAGGAGCAGCTCATCGACCTCCTCCAGCCCGGCCGCCCGCCCGTCACGGCCTACTGCGGCTTCGACCCCACGGCCGACTCGTTGCACGTTGGGCACCTACTGACAGTCCTGGGCTTGCTGCACTTCCAGCGCGCCGGCCATAACGTCATCGCCCTAGTGGGCGGAGCCACGGCGCAGCTGGGCGATCCCAGCGGCCGCACCAAAGCGCGCGAGCCGCTGACGGCGGAGCAGGTGCGGGAGCGCGCGGGGGGCCTCCTCGAGGGGCTGCAACGGCTCTTCCAGAACCACCGGGAGCTCTTCTGGGCCGAGGATGGCGACCGCCTGGGCAGCGTCCATTTCCTGGACAACGCCAGCTGGCTGGAACGCGAGTCGGTCATGGGCTTCCTGGGCGGAATCGGGGGTCACCTGCGGATGGGCACGTTGCTCAGCCGGCAGAGCTGCAAGGCCCGCTTGAGCAGCACGGAAGGCCTGGGCTTGGCCGAGTTTCTATACCCGGCTCTGCAAGCTTACGACTTCCTGCATTTGTACCGTCACTACGGCTGCCTCATTCAGCTGGGTGGAGCGGACCAGCTGGGCAATATCATGTCTGGATACGACCTCGTCTCTAAGTAAGAAAGACAGGAGTTGGAAAAGATTTCAGGAAACCCGCTCAAATCTTAATGTTGCAAAGGAATGTGTGTGGGTGCATTAGCCTGTCATTACATACTTGCATGTGGTGCAAGTATGTAAGTCACAGATTTTGTCATTTGTCTCTCTTGGTCTTCCTCTTATAGGTTCATTGGGTGGTAAGCTTTAATTTTACAATGTGTTGTGGGGAAATGTCTGCTTTAACTAAACCTGGCTCAGGAATTCTGGGAGTTGAAATCCACGAGTCATAAAAGAGCCAAGGTTGCCTACCCCTGAACTAAACCAAAGTGTTTGGAGATAGATGCAACAAAGTATATTTTATTATCATGCACAACTATACTGATCTCTTGGCCATAAGAAAGCAAAAGAACCCCAAACTAGTCAAAGTTATGGGTTATATACTTCCAGAACTGGCCCATGGTAAGAAAGCAATGTAAATCATATTATCACTTTTATAGCTGGAATGTAACATCTGATAATACTATAAAATGCCCTTGCTGGAGTCTCACCCAGAGCTTCTATGATAGGGGTATCAAACTTGCAATGTGACGTGTTGTGACATATCACAACTTTTTCTCCATTGCCGGCAATGGGCTGGTCACAGTTTCGGCATGACGCATCAGGCCTGTGGGCCGGCAGTTTGTTACCCTGCTCTATGAAGACTCCAAGGCTCTTCTACTAATACTAAGGCCTTTTAACATAAACAGTGTCATGTATTGTACTCATGTAGTATCTCCTTTCACATTAGAACAGTGGTTCTCAACCTTTTTAATGCTGCGACCCCCCCCCCAACCGGTCGTAAGTCGAGGACTACTCAACCGATCATAAGTCGAGGACTACTCAACTGGTGCAGCACCGTTTGCAGAATGGGACTTTTGGCGGGCTCAACAAGGCAGAGACAGCCTGGACAATTCCTATTGGCTTTCAAAAGCCAATAGAATAAAAGGGAGTAGCACAGCTAAGGAAAAGGGGGAAAAAATGGCGGACTGCGTTGTTTGGCGACCCCCGTGAAATGGTCGTTCGACCCCAAATGGGGTCCCGACCCATAGGTTGAGAACCACTGCACTAGAAAAAGGGGCACAGTTTGATTTCTGTCTCCTTCTCTTTTTGGGTCTTTGGGCTTTTTCAGATTTGCTCTAATAATACATTTCAGAATCATAAGGAAACAACTGAATATTATTTACCTCCCAGTCTCTTGGGGAGGGAGCTGAGGAGAGTGTTAGTGGACTTTATTAGTGGTAGATCTTCTAGTGTTTTTCAAAATTTTGGACATACATTCCTTCCACAACCTAATAAGCATCAATGTCCTGGAGTATATAGCTACTGTCATTTCCCAGCCAGTATACACAGGTCATTCAAAATAAAGGAAGTTGTACTATAGTTTGATATATCAAGATGATGTTAGGTTGAGGGACATTGCTATAAAACATAAATATATTTGGTTTGTAAATGATTGGGCTTTTAAAAATCTGTGCTGACCATTTAATATGACCTAAGATCTTTAGAGCCAATTTGATCTAGTGGTTAAGGCACTGTCTAGAACAGGTGTAGGCAACCTTGGCTCTTTTATGACTTGTGGACTTCAACTCCCAGAATTCCTGAGCCAGCATGGGTGGCTCAGGAATTCTGGGAGTTGAAGTCCATGAGTCATAAAAGAGCCAAGGTTGCCTACCCCTGGTCTAGGAGCAGGGAAACCTGAGTTTTAATCAGGCCTTGGGCATGGAAGTTGAAGCAGGCACTCTCAGACCTAGGACAAAGGAAACAGCAAACCAATACTGAAAATATTATGCATGAATTTGTCCATGTTGTATCCAGTGTCAGTTGTGATCAATCAGATAGTATCAAATGTATATCAAACTCTGTTGACAAATGACTAACATTTTCATTTTTTTTCTCTTAAGAGTAACTGACAATGATGTATATGGAATAACTGTACCTCTTATTACAAGTACTACTGGAGATAAGCTGGGAAAATCTGCTGGGAACGCAGTTTGGCTTAACAGAAATAGGACTTCTCCGTTTGAACTGTATCAGTTCTTTATCAGACAACCAGATGCCACTGTAGAAAGGCAAGTCTATTTCTACATGAGCAATTATTTTCCTGCTAAAAACAAAAGGACTTGTTTGCTAGAATGATGATTTATAGGATGCTAGACTGTCAGTGCGGGAGACCAGAATTCAAAGCTTTATAACAGTGGTTCTCAACCTGTGGGTCGGGACCCCATTTGGGGTCAAACGACCATTTCACGGGGGTCGCCAAACAAGGCTGTCCGCCATTTTTCCCCCTTTTTTTGGCCACGCCCCTGGCACCCAGTGATGTATAAGTGGTTGGGGGTCACCACAACATGGGGAACTGTATTATGGGGTCGCGGCATTAGAAAGGTTGAGAACCACTGATTTATAACCACAGAGCTCACTTTCTTTCAGTCTAGCACAAATAGGTACCCAGATGCTTTCTAATTGTTTGTGTTTACATTTCCAATAATGTTGGCATATAAAGGGCAGAAGATTGCATTTCTTTTAACTTATTTCACAGGATTGTTGTGACAATCAAGTTGGAGTGAGAACAAAAGTACTCATTTTGAATGTCTTAGAAGTTAGATAGAATGCTATATGTGGTAGTTAAAAAATGATGTTTAGAACACTCCTCACAATTGGTTTATGCCATCTCAAACTTCAGGAAGTAACATTTTTGATACCCAAAGAGCCTAGCTGATCAACTGAATACTCTGATAAACTTTAAAATTAAATAAATACTTAGGACTTAAAAGATTTTCCCCCCAAAAAATCCCCCAATTTTCAGAGCTCCTGGTATATATCTGAATGTTTCTGCATTTACTGTGGTTAATTTGTCATATTAATTTCGCTCTATCTGATCAGAAACAATTATTGCTAGTGTCAAGATTTCATTTTCAATATTTTTAGAAAAGGAAAGTGTATTTGTCTCACTTTTAGTTACATTATATATTTTTAAAAAATATAAATCTAAATTATGTAATACTGAAGCAAAATAATGCTACCTTCTCTTTAAGGTATTTGAAGCTTTTTACTTTCCTTTCTGATATGGAAATTGATCATATCATGCAAGTGCATGCTAAAGACCCTGAGAAGCGGGGACCTCAGAAGCGGCTTGCTGCTGAAGTAACTAAGCTTGTTCATGGCAGGAAAGGTCTGGAATCTGCCAAGAGGTAAAGACAAATTGAATTTGTTAAGTCTCATTTGTTGGACAAAAATCCTGTGAATGGCCATATAAGCAAGGACTATAGCTTTACAGATAGCAAACAAGAAGGCAATTAAATTCTGGATTTCCCATCCTTCCAAAGTTGGAAACATTTAAATTTAAAAAGGAAAATCTAATATAAGGAGACTTTCTCATCATTTATTTCATGAATGGTGCACAACAATGTTGAGGTTCACGATTGGTGCAGAAGAACTTTGGAACTGAAGCCTTTCCAGTTTCCTAAACCTACTCTATCCCCAAAATGAAAATAGCTTCTCCCACTGGGAACAGCAGGTTTATTTTGATTTTTAAAGTGAGGGAGAAGACACGAAGCAGTCATTATTCCTGATTTATTGCCAGCAGGATGATCGTAAATGGTAGAGCACTTTGAAGTATACAAGTGCTCTGCCTAAATTGAGAAAAACTGATATAGCGAATAATGATGCAGTGTGTATTTTGACAGCTACTTTTTTATTACCAGATGTACAAAGGCCTTTTATTATAGCAATGTAGATGCATTAGAAAGTATGTCTGACGAAGAGCTACAAGAACTCTTTAGAGAAGCACCTTACATAGAAATGCTACTTGAACCTGGAACAACAGTAATTGATTTGTGTCGGAAAGCTAATGCAATTGCAGATGGACCAAAGGGGTAAGTTAACATGTTTTTGTCTCTTTACTTTCTATATGATATGCTATAAATTGCCTTATGTTGAAGTTATTGTCTATGAGTCCTATGTACAGGTAGTTCTCAGGTTACAAAGGCAATTGGAGTTGGGATTGCTGTTGCTTAAGTGAAGCGATGGTAAAGCACAACATCACATGACTATATTGCTGAACAATGGCACAACTCTAAGACATAGGAGTCATTAAGTGGGAAACATTGTGAGTCCCAGATAGAGTGAAGGGGTGTCACAGGTGGAGAGGTCAGGGAGATCCTGGGAGTTTGGGGATCCTGGGAGGCTGGCAGAGGTGATGGTCATGTGTGGGCAGGAGATACTTGCAATTCTATCAAAATACAGGGTCTCTGTTTTTTCCAAGTTTTAAAAATAAGAGTCTGCCCTAATTAGCATTTCTGATAAACGCTGATTGCTTCTAAACCATCTGAGACTTATTAGCGGTAGACCCCAACTGTATATTTTCTTCTTCCAGATACCGTGACATAACGGTTGGTGCAGTTTCTATAAATCATATTGCAGAAACGAACCCTGAGGCTGTGCTTATTCTTGGACAACATATTCTGAGTAATGGTTTATCACTACTGAAGATTGGAAAGAGGAATTATTATATTATAAAATGGCTTCAGTTGTCACATGAAGAGTGACAATATTAAGGTTTGTAATATGTTAGGAAAGGTCACCTTTCTTCAAAGATGTCAGAAAGGCGTGATCTAGAGAAGTACACATCAGATGTTAACAAGGACAGTGAAGTATTGTGTAAAGAGTTTTTCCTCACTGAGTGAGGCTTGCTTACCTACAGAATCATTTGGAAAATGGATGGTGTTTTATTTCATTGTTCAGTAATGAAATACATGTAATAGTTTCGATTATAATGGAATTTAAATGTATAAATCATTGTGGAAATGTTCTCTGCAATGAGATTAAAATGAATTTACAAAGATTTACTAGTTGCATTATTATTTGAATTACAAGCTTTAGATAAAATTGGCTTATTCTAAACACTATAATTTTGTTCAGTATTTTCTATGATAAAGTTGTTTAGTATCATTCTGTGAGATGGTTCGACTGTGGACAAAACTATCTGAAGAAATGCAGCTAAGTTGCTATTATTGAAACATCAGTAATTCCAGCTTCAAACAAATATTGGGATAGGTGAGAAATGTTCATTTTATTATGACTGAGCGTTGAAGTCTTATCTAACTGAAAAGTCACTGTTTTTTAAACTATCAAAAATATCAGGCACTGTATATTTTCCAAATAAGATAGTACAGATATTTTGTACTGTCTTTACTGCTTCCCCAACTTGCTTTTCTTTAAAGCTTAGGTTTTTCTGAACTTATTTATTATCAAATTGTTATTTACTAACAGCAGTGCTGGGCTGTAGCCCTAGTTGTATTTATATAATTGGAATCAGATCTGTAGTTTAATCTGACATGCCCAATCTGTTATAGTGGGGAGTGCTAATCATATACTGGCAAATAAATATTTCTTTCAGTGGCCTTACTGTCCACAAGAACCAGAATTGCTAATGTCCACAAAAGCTAAAGGCCATATCTTACGAGTACATTTGATATATTGCTTCATATTTACTAGGTTATGGGTACCCAACCAGGGGTGCGAGATGATATTCCAGGGGGTATAGTTTTGAAAACTATATTCAAAATTATAGTGTATATGCATAATTCATTGCCGTTATTTTGAACTTTTGTAAGGGTGCGAGAATATATCAAAAGTGTTCTAGGGGTGCGGGGTATAGAAAAGGTTGGGAGCTGCTGTACTAGGGTATTGTTTCACAAAGCTATAATTGTATTTATTTCATGCATTTATCCTTCCTTAATAAAGGAAGATTGAAAAATAGTAGTAGAAATATTTGGGCTACATTTCTTTTTAAAAAATCTAAGCAACTACTTCTATCTTAGTTATAACTATTCAAAGCAATTAAAATACTTGTGTTTACTGAAACTTCACTCAGCTGCCTTGACAAGTGATTATTAATACTGACTATACTTTAAAAGATGATTTATTGATACAAAACTATCAACTTTACAGAATTAGTTACAGTTGTAACTTTAGGAACTGACAAATTGTCTATGCATAATCTTCAGTTTTGTAGATTCAAACTGGAAACCATTTATCTTTGCAATGTTTTCTACGGCAGATGAGGTTTACATTGCTTTAGATCCAGAAGACTATTAAAGAAATATTTATGCAAAAGTTACTGTGACCTGATCCACCACTATAATATTAAAAAGCACCTTGCCTTGACATACATTTCATACTTTCTATTGTACCAGGAGTATTAAAAATTATAAAAATTGGACTAGTAATAAGCATTGTGTAAAACATATTGGGAATGGAACATTTTGGGAAACCTAAGAACATTCCATCTTCTTTATCTTCCCTGACAGAGAAGGAGTTTATTTGGAGCATCAGAAACAGTTCCTGTTCCAAAAGAGCTACTTCTCAAAATTTGGCAGTCCATCACTAGAAAGATGGATCAGTGTGGTCTGAAGAAAGACATCATGTGCCAGGCCTTCCCAAAACAGTTGTGTTGGCCCGTCTCTAGGTAGTCATGTCATTCTACTTGAATTAATTCAGAGCTGTTGTTAGTACTTAGAATTTCCTGTATCTATGTAACTTAGAACAACTTACTTCACTCAAAGACAAACCTGGGAATTAAATATTGCATTAAACATGAGCTTTGCCTTCAAAATTATATTTCACATTACTTTTAGAGCAAGACAGACTTTTATCAAAGATGGGTGAACATGTTTAGTCTGATCCATGTTCTTGTTTACTTTTGAAGATGCAATGGAAACTTCACCATCCACATCTCAGTCACAGATCAATGCAAAAATTATCAGGAACATGCAACATTACCTATACGATGGAAAATCTTTAAATCCAGTTGGATGTTCTCACTTAAGAGCAATAGCACTTATATGCCATTTTTATAATTCTTCGCAGCCCTCTCTTAAGCGGTTTAGAGTGTCAGCATATTGCCCCCAACAATCTGGGTCCACATTTTACCGACTTCGGAAGGATGGAAGGCTGAGTCAACCTTGAGCCAGTGAGACTTGAACTGCTGGCAGTCGGCAGTCTGCAGAATTAGCCCACAATGCTGCATTCTAACCACTGCACCAGCACAGCTCTTAAAGGCAGGAGCCAGTCAGAAATTAATATAAACAAGAAAAACCAATCCCAAAGGTGCTTTTCCCCCCCCTTTTAGGGGGCAACTGGACTTTCTTTTAGAGTTGTTGAGGCCATTTCCTCCAAAGAATGCAAATGACCAGCTGTCTGCAAGGAATATAAATCCTTCCATTCCCTACCATTCAGTCAGAGCTGAAGAAGCTTCTTGGATGAGAAGCAAAACGTTTTCAAAGAAAAACAAAGTCCAGTTGCCTCCCAAAAGAAAAAGAAAAAAAAAGCACCTTTGGGATAATCATGACCTGGATGACTGAGCATCCCCATGGATAAGAGAAACCAATATTTCTTCCAAAGTTCCTCTAAAACCAAATAATTTCCCCAGAGGTTAATCTGGGTATATCCTGGAGGTAATGGAATAATGTGTAATTGGTTGTTTGTGAGTTGAGGATACTGCTATCAAGACACTTGTGTAAAACAGTCTGGGTTTTGCGTGCTGGTGTGTGTTTATGGGGTAATGACTGGGAAAAGAGATCATACAATACTATAGTACTTCTAACTCATATATTAATGCAATTCACTTAACTCTGCAAGAATCTTGGCATAGCCGTTATTAAATTCAAGACCATCTAGTTCCATAGATTTGCAAAGGCCGCAAATGAGATTCAAACACAATTTTATTTTTCGTATGATTACTCTGCATGTGGGTGTGAATTTCTGTAATAAATTGCAGATACATTTAAGAGCAGTAAATGCAACTATGTTTCAGTGTAAAATAAGGGTGGAACTCATATACTCTCAAACTTACTGAATATTAAAAGTTTCTGGTCTCAAATGATTTAGGTCAACTTCTTTTTAGCCTGTTATGTTGACATTATCAGGCAAATTTTGGTTTTCCACAAGTACTCATGGAAGAAAGCACTATGCTTACTTCCTAATGTGTGCTGCTCAAAGGAAGTTAGAAATAGTCATTTCAAACATGACAGTTAATGTTTCCTTTAAAAAGGAAAAAAAACTATCTGTGATAATACCCGTTGTACTTTAAAATAATAAAATATTCAGGGATCAGTATGCCATTGTTGCTTTTGCTGGTCATAGTAGAGAAGTCAAACAAATTGGCTGTACCACTGGTGTTTGTTTTTTTAAAAAAAGGCAGAACTTAGCAATATGTTCTGGTGATCCAAGTTGATCTGATGGACAGCTGCCTACTTCAGTGTTCTTTCAAAGATTATTAAGAGAGACATGATCTTTCATACTATTTCTACTTATTTTTTTAAAGTCTGATATTTTAGGGAATGGTCCCAGGTTTTTGGTCCCATCCAGAGGAAACTGGTGAATGGAAATTTCTTGCTGACATATTCCATATTTATATAATAAAGAGAAAAGTTCAGTAATACCAGAAGTTAAACCAACTATCTTTGAGTTTACATATCAAATAGCTAAGAGGCAATATTTCTCTTGTATGGTTCGTCTTCTTGAGATCAAGAGCATGCAATTAAATTCATAATTAAATATTGCAGGGTCCTTCTTTCACGGATAAAAACTTATATTGCAAAAGCAGCTGAAAAAGCTATATCACAATTCTACACTGCTCATCCTATTCACAGGCAACTAATTTAACCAAACCAGGAACTGGGATTTTAACCTAGCTTTTTCCTCAATTTTAACTTAATTCAGTCCCACATAAAACAAGGTTGTTCTTTGTATCAGGAAACAGCCGGGAGTGATGATGATTAAATATTATTTGCTTTGCAATGTACAGGATGCTTTTCTGTCCACAGACAACTGAACCAAACTTCTTGATATAAGCAGACTTTACATGCTGCGATACACATGGAGTTTCATTAGTATATAACACCTAGCCCTTTTCAAGTCTCTTGTTTCTTCACCAAAGATGTGTTTCTCTAATCTCTGCAATAATTTGACTGGCTCTTTGCAGGGCCTGAAAAAAAAAGAAATCATATACCAATTAGGGCAAAGGGCATCAACCCAGAAGTGCTTCTTTTCAGGCTATATACAACTCTTAGGACACCCTTAATCATTCTGCTCAATAATAGTACTGCAATTTTGTAGGAAAAGGAATATATTAAACATTGTAAAATCAAGAAAAAAAACTGTGGCTCGGATTTTTCCTGTGATGTTATTGTATCTTCACTGACTTCTCTAGAAAGAAAGAAAGATATTGAACATGCAGGAAGGAGGGAGACGGAGATGCTGGCCCCTCAAAATTTGCTCACTATTTTATATAGACTTTGCCTTCTATTATGGATTCAAATGCTCAGTTGGGTTATTTAGGTTACTTTAAAGAAGCTAATGCTAGGGGAGAGTTAATTTAATAAAAACTCAAATAATTTGATCCCCATGAGCATTATGGTCCATTTAAATGCATTTACAGTAATTACTTCCCTATTACTGTTCTAGCAACTCAGTTATATCATGCTTACTTGAAAGTAAAAGTAAATAACAGAAATAGAAATTACAAGAGCTAGGGAAGTACATACTTTCTGCATGGCAGGACATTTATAGGAAAAATAGGATTTAAAATTTGGGAGATTATTTATGCTACAGGGGCAATGCGGTGGCTCAGCGGTTAAGATGCTGAGCTTAATAACTGGACAGCCGGCAGCCCAAGTTTGAGACCCAAGCGCCCATACAATGGGGTGAACTCCCGTCCTTGCCCTGCCAACTTAGCAGTTTGAAAGTATGCAAATGCGAGTACCATTTTGGTGAGAAGGTAGCTGTGATGACCCAGGGCCCCGAACGGAGGCAAAGCAATTAGCGGGTCAGAATAATTGTTTTTGTAAGCGCTGCCAACGTTCACCCAACAGCCCCCACATATGCTGGCACAAGTTCAATAAAACAGTCAACGGAGTTAAACAGTTCTTTAAAGTAAAACAGATAACAAACAAAGTATGATCTTTTCAACGCCCAGCTTGCCTGTAACCTGCAAACTGCAAAACTGAAGACAGCAAGGAAAACTCAGCAGGAAACAAACTTGATCCAAAATACAAAGAGTCCAGGTACAAGAGCTCACATCACAAGAGCTCACGTTTGTTCCCGGCAAATGCCCCACCCCATAGCGTCTTCTTAAATACCTATTCCCCAGGTGTGCCTTGTGAAGTGGGGCGTGACACTCTCCTCCCCTGCCTCCGCTCTCCTCCCCTGCCTCCGCTCTCCTCCCCTGCTCTCCTCCCCTGCCTCCGTTGTGAAGTGGGTTGTGAAGTGGGGCTTGACCTCTCCTCCCAAGCAAGTGAGCCTGCCTCCTCTCTGTTCTCCTTGCTCTGGGATCTGGTGGGGAGGGGCCTTGCTCCTCGCCTGAGCTCTGCCTTCCCTGTTCCAAACTTGAAGGGCCCTGGCCTGCTTCAGCCTGTTCCTCCCCACAGTCCTCTGAAGCCACAGACACCCCTCCTGGGCCTCAGCAGGAAATTCCATGTCATCCTCAGAGTCAGGCTCGGATAGAGGCATGACAGTAGCACTCTGTGATGTCATGCTGGCCACATGACCACGGAAATGTCTTCGGACAGCGCTGGCTCAATGGCCTTGAAACAGAGGTGAGCACTGCCCCCTATCATCAGCAACAACTAGCAGAATAAAATCCGCAAGGATTCCTTTACCTTTTGCTTATGCTTTAGAGCTAGGATTCTGCAAGAGATTGTGATTGAAATAAAAAACTTCATTTTTTGACCTTCATATGCCAAGCAGTGCTAGCTATCGGTATATAAGTAGTCCTCAACTACAATCATAATGTTGGTCTTAAGCAATGATAGTTGTAAAGTGGATCGTGTGACGATCCACAATTTTATGATTTTTGTGGTGGTCGTTACGCAAACCCATTGTTCATAACAGGCTGTTTTTTTGCCAGAAACTGGAAGTAAATTTCAGTTTCCTACAAAAACGTCATAAATTACAGTCATCTGAAACTGCAAACAGCAGAAAATATGGGCTGGTTCTTAAGCACCCCAAATGTAGTCATGTGACCGGGGGGGGGAGATGATGTTGGAACTCTGAATCCAGGTCATAAATAGCTTTTTCAGGACCCATCGTAACGTCTAACAGTTGTAGGTCGAGGACTTCCTTTAATAACTTTCATGGAGAGGTTCCCTTAGACCTGATAATTATTCCAAGGGTTCCTTCAGGGTAAAAAGATAGAGAAAGGCTAATCTAGGCATTGGGCCAGAAAACAGATTTTTACATTACAAAACTACTTTGCCCCTTTTCTGAATTACCACTGAATTTATTGTCCTAAAAAAGATTGTTTCTGTGCTCACCCTTGTATCTAGAATCTACATAGAACAAAACCAAATGTGTACAGATTTATAATGCTTCAGATTTAAACCTTCAGCAAAAGGTCTGTGTACCTGTAACATGTCAGCTGCCTCCTTCCTGCGCTGAGCCATGTCTTCTGATTCAGTTAAAAGATCATCCAGCAGTAAAGCTTTGTACAGCTGTCCAACTAGCTCACTCTGAAGAGTATCTTTCACGTGGTTCACCAAAAAATGCATCACTGCTTTTGGCACACTGAAAACAAACAGCAACAGTTCAAGCATACTAATGCACCTTTCTGAAAATAAACTGCTTTAAGGTCAGAAAAGAAAGGGAAATCTCTCTTTAAACAGTTACATGTGTTTCTGCAGTCCTAGAAGTGAACAATCAAAGCACAAGAAAAGTCAGAGATGTGGCCTGTAGTATAACCCAGGAGCAGGCAACCTTGGCTCTTTTATGACTCGTGGACTTCAACTCCCAGAATTCCTGAACCAGCCATGCTGGCTCAGGAATTCTGGGAGTTGAAGTCCACGAGTCATAAAAGAGCCAAGGTTGCCTACCCCTGATATAGCCATTGCAGCTCTGTGGTCATATGATCAAAATTCAGGTACCTAGCAATTTGCCCACAATTATGACCTCAGGGTTTGCTTCAACTCCCCCCACCTGCCCATCTGTCTCCATCTTTGCCCTTCCGGCTGCCCTACGCTCCACCACCTGTCGCTCCCATCTGACTTTCGCCTTGATGAGGTGTTCCATCATCAGGTCAGCAGCTATTATGCCAGGCACACCTCATCAGCAGGGGAAGGAGGAAGACGATGAAGGTCAGCTGGGGACAGCAAGAGCAATGGAGCACAAAGTGGCCAAAAGAACGAGGGGGGGGGATAGGCAAGGGGGGGAGTTGAAGCGGAGGCAAGCATGGCACTGTAAAAGTATGATGATCTCCCCTAACGACAGTGGATTCCTTGCCTCACTCCTCCAACTGGGTCTACCAGTTTATCTTTTATCTTTTTCAAAGCCAAAAAATTGTTAGGAATTGGACAGCAATCCAGATCTGAAAGGTAAAATATGATTGGAGCTTGTGCTGGCATGCATATCCTACCAGACAAGAACTTTTTAAAGCGAGCACATATTTTTCTGGAATCCTATAAAAGCTGCAGAAGATAACAGCAAGCCAGAAGAAAACTGCAATTGCTTTAAGATTCTATTTCTATGTATTCATTCAATGTACCTGGCTACTGAATCATATTATGCCTTTGAAATATGGGCTTGTGCCCAGCACTAGAAACTGACATGCTGTTGAGTGAAGCGCCACTCTCCAGCAGGGCAATGCTTCTGAGCCTCAATACTAGCCCCATGAACATTTTTAGAAACTTAGAACGGGCAGGAGGTTGCAGACGAGTGCTTGTTTTAAATGTCTGCTCAGGAAATAAGTGAAAGAGTGGCTGGGATGTAAGTGATCTCAAAACATTTTCCCTCTGCTCCCACCCCCACCCCAAGAGTGGTTTACTCCTGCTTTAGAATCATTATTTGCTTAAATTCTCAGCATGAGGAACTAAAATGGAAGCAAATTGAAGGCCTGCATTCAAATCAACCTAGCTGTGTCTAGGTCTGCAGAAAAGACTGCCATCAAAACATTCCTGTGATCATGGATGCAAGTTGCAACTATCACAATGCAAGCTTCTTGGAGTTTTAATATAGCTTACCTGTCTTGAATGTTCTTCCTGACAATTAGGAAATAGGATTTGATGAGACGTTCTATCACTTCGCAATCTCTTTGTTCCCGGGCTGAAAGCTTGCGTGCAACAGGAACAGGCTAGGAGTGTAGCAGAACATCACAAATGACACAAATATATTAACTGTAATAGGTATAATAAATAACACTGGTAAACGCTGACCTGATTTTTGAATAGGATACTGCTATTATTATTATTGGTTCATAAAACTGTCAAATCAGACAGAGTCAAGGCAACTTACAGCTTAATCTCAGAAATAGTTCAAATGATGAGTTCTCTTCATTGTAATAGAATACTTGTGATCAATAACTTGTTCTTCATCTTCTACTAAATTTTAGCTTTACTTAGTCAGGCTCGTGTAGGAACTTACCACATCTAGCAAGTTTACAGCATGGCCTTTTTGAGGGCTGGCAGGTAAAACTGTTACTGGTTTGGATTTTTCCTCTGCTAATATCTCTTCTGTCTTTGATGATTTCAGCATTCCTCTCCAATTGCCAGTTCCAGATTCTGGAATTCCTTCTCCAGAAGCAAGAGATGCCTAATTCAAAGAAAGATATAATATGCAAACTCAACCCCTTATTTGTGAGACAAATGCTTACCTGAACATTTCCTCCAATTTTGTTCAGTCAATTTACTCAATTTTCCTATTCCATCACTAAGAAATGTAAGGTGTTCACTCTTCCCACTACCCCTTTTATTTTATCCTTTTAACTCTCTTCAGAGATTGATGTGACAGAAGTATGTCACATTCAGAAAAGTATTCAGACCCTCTTCACTTTTGTCACTTTTGTTATGCTGCAGCCTGATTTTACGGTTGTTGACATTCATTTTTTTCTCATTAATCTACACTCAGTACCCCATAATGACAAAGTGAAAACAGAATTTTAGAAATGTCTGTAAATTTATTAAAAAGAAATGAAATGAAATATCACATTGACCTAAGTATTCACACCCTTCACTCAGTACTTTATTGAGGCACCTTTGGCAACAATTACAGCCTTGAGGTTTTTTTTGGGTATGACGCAACAAGCTTTGCACACCTGGATTAGGAGATTTTCTGCCATTCTTCCTTGCAAATTTTCTCAAGCTCAGTCAAGTTGGATGGTAACCATCGGTGGACAGCCATTGTCAGTCCCTCCAGATATGTTCAATAGGGTTCTAGTCAGGGCTCTGGCTAGGCTACTTTAAGACATTCACAGAGTTGTTCCTAAGTCACTCCTGATGTTGTCTTGGCTGTGTGCTTAGGACTGTTGTCATGTTGGAAAGTGAACCTTCAGTCCAGTCTTAGTTCCTGAGCACTGTTGTGGAATAGGTTGTCACTGAGGATATCCCTGGACTTTGCTCCATTCACCTTTCCCTCAACCATGACCAGTCTCCCAGTCCCTGCTGCTGAAAAACACCCCCACAGCATAATGCCATGCTTCATTGTTAGGATGATATTGTGCAGGTGATGAGCGGTGCCTGGTTTCCTCCAGACATAACATTTAGAATTGAGGCCAAGCAATTCAATCTTGGTTTCACCAGACCAGAGAATCTTGTTCCTCAAAGTCTGAGAGTCCTTCAAGTGCTTTTTTGCAAACTCCAAGCAGGCTTTCATATGTTTTGCACTGAGGAGAGGCTTCTGTCCAGCCACTCTGCCAGAAAGCCCAGATCGCTGGAGGGCTGCAGTAATGGTTGTCATTTTGGAACTCTGTCCCAACTCCACACAGGATCTCTGGAGCTCAGTCAGAGTTACCATCGGGTTCTTCGTCACCTCTTGGTCACCTTCTCCCCCTATTGCTCAGATTGACCGGGTAACCAGCTCTTGGAAGAGTCCTGGTTGTGCCAAACTTTTTCCATTTGAGAATTATGGAGGCCATTGTGCTCTTAGGAACCTTCAGTGCAGCAGAAATTTTATTGTAGCCTTCCCCAGATCTATGCCTTGCAATAATCCTATTTCTGAGCTCTGCAGGCAGTTCCTTTGACCTCATGGCTTTTGCTCTGCTACAGTATGCATTGTCAGCTGTGAGGCCTTTTATAGAAAGTTGTGTGCCTTTCCAAATCATGTCCAATCAATTTAGTTTACCACAGGTAGTCTCCAATCAAGATGTAGAAACATTTCAGCAATAATCAAGAGAAAGGGAGGCACCTGAGCTAAGTTTCAAGTGTTGTTGCAAAGGGTCTGAATACTTATGCCAATGCGATAGTTCAGTTTTTTCTTTTGAATAAATTTACAGACAATTCTAAAATTCTGTTTTCACTTTGTCATTATGGGGTACTGAGTGTAGATTAATGAGAAAAAAGTGAATTTCAACAACTATAGAAGCAGGCTGCAGCATAACAAAATTGACAAAAGTGAAGGGGGTCTGAATACTTTCTGAATGCATTGTATTTTATAGGATTTATATGGCTTCTTATCTGAAATAACGATTCTAGGCAGCTCACAACTTCCATTAAAACATAGCTAAAAACAAAGTACACCCCCGAAGTCGGACCAAACAACCTCCTGGCTGAAGTCCCATCCTAGGCCAATGTTTTGGGGAAGTCTTTATGGTCCCCTGGAAGACAATGGTACAGTATCACCAAACAACACAGAAGAGGTAAAGGCTCAGACTGATCCTTGCAAATGTACAATGGCTTTTAGTCCAACCAACACTCCCAAACATGCAGATCTGTAAACCTGTAGGTGAAAACTACAATCTTCAAAGCCCCCAGAATTTCTTTTAATTTCAGCAGCAACAATTTACTGTCAGGCTGAGTGAAAATGCATGAAAAAAAATGGTCTAAATCCTAAAATAAGCTTAACACAGTTAATTTCTCCAGAATAATTATAAAAAAAAGTCTCATCTCCACTAACTTTGTATCACTATTTACTGTCTCCGATAGAAAGTATGATTCAATTTGAACATGCAGGTACACAGATTTACACGTACACAATTAACTTGACTTTAAGTGCAAGGTATATATACTTGTAGCAATCATACAATTTAATTCTTAAAACTTGTCATTTTTAAATAAGAATTATCCCAGAGGTTCAGCTTCTAATGACAACAAGAATTAAAATTAAATCTCTTTCCCAATATCAAATATAACCGGACTTATGACCAGTTTTCACACTTATGACCATTGCAGTATCCCCATGGTGACATGATCAAAATCTGGGCAGTTGGCAACAGGCATGTGTTTATAACAGTTGCACTGTCCCAGGGCCATGTGACCACCACGTGTATGATCTTCCCAGCCAGCTTCCAACGAGCAAAAGTCAATGGGAGAAACTGACTTAATGACCACGATTCACTTAATGATTGCAGTAATTCACTTAACAAATGAGGTAAAAAGGTCATAAAATGGGGTAAAACTGCATAGCTTAGCAATGGATATTTTGGACTCGATTATTGTCATAAGGACTACCTGTATGGTCACGATAACTTCACACTGAGGTAAACACTGTCATGGCCCCATTGGAGCCCCATTCAGAAAAGGAGGAGGAATTGGATCTGGGATCGTCCGATGGGGATGGCACATCTCCCTGGGAATGTTTGGAGAGACCAGGGGCTGAGGACGATGCTGTCCCAGGCCCCTCAGCATTGGGGGAGGTGGTCGACCAGACGAAGAGCTGCCTGCGCTCACAGACCCAATGGAGGATCGACTGCTGACAGGCCATGGTGCTGAGAGGCAGCAGATCACCTCTGATGTGGAACAGCTGCCTACTCCACTCAATCCAAGGGCAAGGAGAGCAGAGCGTAGGCAAGCTCAGAGAAGGGCTGCAAGGCTATTCAAGAGAAGGTTGCCCCACCCCTCCTCACAAGGAACACTTGGAGTGGACTGACTTAAGGAGAAGCCTTGGGGAGTTAGTCTTTGCCAGGAACAATTGATTTACATTCTCCCAGCTTTGACTTGTGCCTTTTGCCTTGCCTTGAGGACTGTTTTTCACCTTTTGCTTTGCCTAGCCTTGAGGACTACCTTCTGCCTTTTGTCCTGTACCTTGCCTTTCTTGTGGCACTGCTTTATGTCCTTTTGCCTTGCCTTGCCTTGAGAACTGCCTTTTGCCCTATATCTTGTCTTTGCCCTGAGGACTGCCTTTGCCTCACGGACTACAGTTTGCCTTATGGGCTCACTTAGCTGGATGAACTGGACTTGGGACCCTGGATCTTGCCCTATGAGCATGCTCTTATTCTGTGGACTTTCTTTGTTTGGCTGTTGTTTGGGGAATTGAGGGTGGCTGCCTTCGGGGTAGCGTGAGGTGGAGCCTCACCAGTCGTTGGAGGGCTGTTTGTTGAAACATTTACTTATAGGAATAAAGGACTCTCTAGAGGCCTGCCTTGCCTTGACCACCTAGGTCATAACAAACACTGAGGTAAAAAGGTAAAGATTCATGAGTCAGAATCAACTTCTGGAGCCTAGAAACATTCATGTAATTTTCTTGACATCAATGTGGAAGTGGTTTCACATTTCAGGCTTCCTGTTTTGTTGTTTAATTTCCTATTTTAGTCTGAAGCCCCAAGCTTTTCTAACAGCCTCCTATCCAAAGACACTAGTTCCTAGATCCTATTCTACTTAGCTTTCATTCAACAAAGCCAGCTAGGTGTGGCCATTATAACCACTAAACAACCACAGAGCTGCCTAGTACCAAGGTGAAACCCATTACCCTTATTCAATAAACTAACACCTGAAGACACACAATCAACCTGAACTATGAATTCTGAACAATCACATTAGCCGTTTCTGAGAATCATGCTCAACTGACCAAAGTTCAGCACAAAATAACTAAGCATGCATGCTTAGAAGAAAGAGAGACAGACCTTGCCATCAACCTCAGCAGAACCAGCAGCAGAAGTCTCCTGGGAAGATGGTGGCATAACACCAGGAGGCTTAATGGACTAAAAAAAAGGCAAGAAGGGCAGAGAAGGATATCAGTACTGCTTGACAATACCTTGTTTGTTAAGTTTAATCAGTTTCTTTTATCCCCTTACTTGCTGTTTCTCGGAAACAGAGGTACACTAAACAGCAATTTGGACCACCTTGGGGGAAAAAAAGCTGTTTGGCATTTACAAAACATACTGTCAGTTTTATGTATCAGACACATACTCACCTTGTCCCGTAATCCATGAGAAGACATCTCTCTAGCTAATCTGTTCCGCCTTTGTTCCTTTAAGACAAAAATGTGTGATTAGAAATTAGCTGTCAAAGAGCAATCAAATCCTGATTCTTAAGGCATTAGGGTAGAAACCGGGAGACCTTACGTTCTAGTCCTCCCTTAAACACAAAACAAACTGATTGGCCTTGGACCAGTCATTTTCTCCCAGCATTAAGAAGAAGACATTGGCAAACTTGAAAATCTTGCCAAAAAAACTGCAGAGACTAGCCCAGGTAGTCTCCAGGAGTCCATACTGACTCAAAGGCACACACCTATCTAAGCATGATTTCTGCAAACTGAGAAAGAGTTAAATATATTAAAGATGAGTTAGTAGCAATAGCACTAACATTTAGACTTTTATACCACTTGATAGTGTTTTACAGCACGTTCTGAGCAGTTTACAATATCAGCATATTGCCCCCAACACTCTGGGTCCTCATTTTACTGACCTTGGAAGGATGGAAAGCTGAATCAACCTTGAGCCAGTTAGGATCTAACTCCTGGCTGTCGGCAGAGTTAGCCTGCAGCCGACCTGACCAAAGCCATTTTCCTTGCTTCCTGTTGCCACAAATGGGACGTTTTCTATTAGACTAAACATTTTTCTATCCCGTGGGAACCAAGGTCATTTCTGTTTCCCTCAGCTGGGGAGGATACTTTTAGTATTAGAAAGGCCACCTGGATGTGTTATTGGGAAACGTAGTTAATTACATAGCCAGTGGGATGGGTCTGTAACTTTGTATTACTGTTGCTTCTGGGAGGGAATTTTAGTCTTGGTTTCACTTTTGACCATGCTGATACTTTGTATCCAATAAACATGTTCTCAGAGGAAACCTCAAGCCTGGAGTTCGGTTTTATTTGGCCTCATCTATTGGAACCATAACTGTATTCTAACCAGTTAAAGATGTCTGAACCATGTTCTCCTAATGACTTGCAGCCTGTTCTACCTCCAAGAATTGGAGGCACAGGTGTTTCTGGCACACAGGCAAGATGATAATTTATGTTTTAGCTAATATTCCCAATCAGGCAAACAAAGACTCTACCCTCAGTAGTTGATATGAAAATCTAGTAAGTTTAATAATGTATCGTAAACATTTGAAAAGATTATATTTTCTCCTTTACCTCTATATTATTGTTTATTAGCCCACAAGCATCTGCAAAATCTGGATGCTTGGTGTTGATATAAGCCAATTCAATCGCTACTAAATTGTGAACCTAGAAAAAAATAAAAGAGAGAAAAAATCAAAACTTTAATTCTATTGAAAAATAATTTCAAAACTTCAACACTACATCAAGAACAAAAATATTTCTTCTCAGCTGATTTTTCATGATAGATTTTTGTAAGTTGCTTGTTTTCTTTGTTTCAAAGTGATTTTATAGTTCTCAAAATTTATGCCACATATATTTCTATACTTTGCAGCCTTTAATGCAGATCAAAATTTTATAAATAAAATGTAAAGTCAAGTTCTGAATCAAGTACATTTGATTCAGAATTAAGCCCTCCATCTATAAATGACCCCGTTGTCATGGCCCCATCAGAGCCCGGGTCTGAGGAGGAAGAGATGGAGGTAGGACCCACAGAGGGAGATGGCGCTGTCTCTCTGGTTCAGGAGGAATGATCGGAGGAGAACGATGAGGCAGTCCTGGGTCCCTTGGGCCTCGGAAGGGTCGCCAGGGGAAAGAAAAGAAAGTGCAGGATGACCGAGCGAGGGGGGAGGAGATGGACAGGGCAGGCAGCAGAGGAGCGAGGGAGCTCCGGAAATGAGCAACTGCCTCCCCTGACCGATCCCTGAGCATGGAAAATGTAGAGGAGACAGAGTCAGTGCAGAACAACCCGACTACTCAGAAGGAGGGTGCCCCGCCCCTCTTCACAAGGCTCAACTGAGGAATAGGATTTAAAGAGATGCTGTGGGGAGGGGCTTTTGTTGGAAACAAGTGCATTTTTCTAGCCACCCCTGCCCTGCCCTGCCCTGCCCTGCCTTACTTCGCAGTGACACAGCTCTGCTCCAGGTTATGCTGCAGTTTCAGCAAACAACGAGGACTCCCAGTGACCAAGCTTCTTGAACTGTGCTGCTCCCCTGGACTTCTAGCAGCCAGGAACTATTGGCGGTGTGTGTGTGTGTGTGTGTGTGTGTGTGTGTGTGTGTGTGTGTGTGTTTGTGTGTGTGTGTGTGTGTGTGTGTGTGTTTAGAGCTTTGGCTCTTGGACTTGCAGTGAACTGTGCTGCTGCCCTGGACTTCTAGTACCCAGGGACTATTGGAGGTGTGTGTGCGTGTTTAGAGCTTGCTCTTGGACTTGCAGTGAACGATGGGAATTTTGGGGGAAAGTTGGAGCAATAAAAGGGAGTTAACCCTTCACTTCAGCTGTGTTGCTTCTGTGCCCAGCCCCCGGTCATAACACTCATGTACTGAATATAATGAAGTTCATTACCATATAAGGATATAACAAACTTAAGTCCTATGAAGGAAGCCTATTTTATATACTTCTATAAAAATTGTAGCTGTCACTTGCAAAACTATTTGATACGAAAATAATTCTTCAGCAACAAACCTCATAGTGATATCTCATAATATCTAACATGTTTTCATGCAACCAAATATGTCATAATACAAGAATCTCCACCCTGATTACCATTTCATTTGTAATTGGTAGCCTTCGACGCAAAAGACTGGTCACAACCTCAACAATGGCATCATGGAGTTTAGGAAATCTCAGCAATTCCTGAATACAAGCAAAACAGCACAGGATTTCATTTGCTATAATCAAAAACAGAATGGTCAAAATGAATGACCTAGAATATTTAGTTTCCAGAAGAACTGGTCTTCATAAATAATGTAATTCCCATAAACCAGCAGAAACCACTGAGTGCCTCCAAATGGCTCCCCGGACCCTGGTTGTAGCCTTCATTTCAACAGCAAATCTAAAGGAGTTTTGCCTGAGTTCCACTTAGAGGAATCCATCTCACTATACTGTTGTCAATTACTATTCTCTAATTATCTCAACAGAGTGGAAGTAGGACTCCTTCTGACATGCTCATCCTCTTACCTCTAAAATGTAAAAGATAATAATAAACCTTTATTGATTAGCCCCTGGGCCATATCAAAGTGTAAAGTTCCAGCAACAAAACATTACCAAAGTTTGATAAAAGCAATTTAAAATGAACTTTGATAAAATACAGTTTAAAATGCAATTAGAGTAAAATACGACTTAAAATGAAATTAGAGTAAAATACAGTCTAAAATGAAATTAAAATAGATAAAATATGATAAAAATATATCTTGGAGTCACCCTTGCAATCTACCCCGATCAGTCCCACATATAGGGATCTCAACTGAACCATTTTGTTTAAATACTGTGCTGCGTTAAATGTTATTTTCAAGTTCTGGCCGCACATGAGGTAAATTGTTTTGGTATGGGGATCCCAATGAGTCATTCATTTGGTATATAGACTGAGGTACCTGTCTCTCACCCTCTTGTACAGGCAACAATCAAATAGTATGTGAGCCAAGTCTTCTACCTCTGCTGCTCCGCAAATGCAGAGACGCTCATTGTAAGGTATAGAATGGAATCTCCCATATCTGACCATTGTGTCAGGCTGTTCAAATATAATGTAAAAGAGAACTGTGACAGAATGGAACAGGGCAGTGCTGTACTCTTACTTTATGCACTCCTCATGCTTCTTTCTCCAAGTGTCTCCACAGGAACATATTTAAGATATACCAGCCCTTTCCCAATCTGACGTTATGGAACACTGACTTTCAGCCAATGTTATCAACAAACATTCTGGTTGACAATTATAGAATTTGTCCAGAATAATTTGAGGCAACTATACTATGTAAGGGACAGCAAAGCAAAGAATTTGCTTGCACGTCTATACTAAAAAGATACCCCTGTGTCCAAGTATGCACACAGCCTCTAGGACATTTTTCTCCTTAATGAAAAGAGTTATCCTTTATCGCCAAATAAATTATACGTTACAGATGCATTACTTTGATAGCCCTAGCAGAGATTTCTGAAGTGCCAGATTATGTCAAGCTATAACAGCATACACAGCTCCTTCTTTTACCTGAGTACTGTAATTGCTACAGTGCTGAATAATCCGTTGCATTTCCTCATGAACGAGTTCCACACATCGTAAGCTGGGCTCTTCCAAGCGTTTGATTTGCCTTTTTACTAACAATTCAAATGAAACTTCAGGTATAAACAACGCAGGCCGGGGACCCTGATCAAAAGGAAAGCAATGAGTTACTGTTTTGTTATCAGACTTCACTATACTGAACGGGGCAATGAAACATTGGGCAGATCATTCCATTATTAACAACAACAACACCCCGACCACAGAGTATCTATTTTAACGAGAAAAAGTATCTTACTGAGTAGTTGTAAAAGGATAATACCTACAGTAGCATTTCTAATGGCAGTCAAGATGTCAATGGTGTTAAGGCCACCTAATGGATCCACAGACTCTAAGGTGCGCCCGAAGGTTTCATGAAAAATGTAGCAAATTCTAGCTCCGCCACACCTAAAAGATGGGAAAAGAAACAGGAAACGAGTAAGCCAAATTGTATTATATGTACTTAATTTTTGTGAGGACAGCACATTTCAATTCAAGTTTTAGAAACTTACTAACCAGGTAAGCTTACCAATGAGGACCCACTTACCAATGATAATTGGGACCGGGAACTCCTTTGCTAAACAACATATAGTAGTTGTAATGTGTAATGTTACGTGATTGTACCAACTTACAACAACAGTTCCAGCAGTCTCGGTTGCCATTGTTAGATCAATTCTGTGAAGTTATAGCACCCCATGACCACGTGACTGCCATCTGCAACCTCTTGCTGGCTTCCCCTTTGACTTTGCTTCTCAAAAGCTGGCAGGAAAGATCGCAAATGGCAATTATGTGACCATCGGATGCTGAGACAGCCACAACTACGAGAACCAGTTGTGCAGATAATCCTCAACTTATGACCATAATGAAGTCATGAGACTGGGGCAGGAGGTGGGGAAAGAACCATTGAAACTTTGAATCCAGATCAAGTCCATCTTAATTCTGAATAGTCACTAAGCAACAAGTTATAAGTCGAGGACTACCTATAATTACCTCTTGTTCACTGCTGCTTAACAGTTGCTGAACAAGCAGACATTAAGCAAGAATTACTTGAATTTAAGTATGTATCCATCTAGAAAGACTATCCTCTATAGCAAAATCTGTAACATTTGCTTACAGTTCTGAAGTCTCTATGTATTTTGCTGTCCCTTCAATGGTGTTGCAATATTCACTGGCAAATTTGGTAATAAGCTGCAATAATGTGGCACTCTTATCATCTACTGGTTCTCCATAACTGTTGAGCAGAGACTGGTACTGGGCAGCTAAAACATTGATTCTGGTTTTCAGTTCAGGTAAGCAATCTCTAATGTGATGCATGAGTAGCCTAAAAGCAAAGTTTGAAGGGGGAAAAGAAACTTGTTAGAAAGATGATTTAAGCATGCAATCTGTTCAGGTTTTCATTCCACATTTTGGCTATTAAACAAATGAAGTTCTAGGAGTGCTGAATGCCAACAGTTTTTGACTGAGAAATATCTGAGATTTTTGAAAGAAAAAGCTATGAATTTAATAGTAGACTAAAGTATTTCACTAAGACATTCCAGACCAGGCAGATCAGGTGGCTACCAATCTGTCGTATATGAGACATAATACTTTTTGCAATGCGAATAAGCCTGGGAGGTGGTTGGCTTATCAGTTACAAAAGAAACAGAAAGCTAGAATCATAGAGAAAGTAAAATATAAAGGTACTGAGGTCTTTCAGCAAGATCTGATTAGAAAAAGCTTTTTGGACTTTTACACAAAATTATATTCAAGTGATAATATAAGGGGTTTGGATATAGATAAATATTTACAATCAGTACATTTTCCTAGACTTTCAGAGGAACAACAAAATGGGATGAATAGTTTAATTATTGTGGAGGAAATTGGTTTAGCTATTAAGCAGTTAAAGGTTGGAAAGTCTCCTGGAACAGATGGATTGACTTCTAGGTATTATAAGATCTTACTTGAAGAAATGATAGAGCCATTAAAGGAACTCTTTAATAGTATTTTGTTGGGTACGCAAGTTCCTCCTTCTTGGAAAAGAGCTTTTATATCATTGATTCCGAAGGAAGATCAGGATCTTACAGAGCCTAAGAATTATAGGCCAATTTCATTATTGAACGTTGATTATAAGATCTTTACAAAAATTTTGGCAAATAGATTAATGCAGGTTATGAAAGACTTGATTCATAGTGATCAAGCAGGATTTATAACAGGGAGATACATGAAATATAATGTTAGACAAATTATTAATTTAATTGAGTACTTGGATAAGAATAATCAGATTCCTGTGGCTTTTATCTTTTTGGACGCTGAAAAAGCTTTTGATCAATTGGACTGGCAATTTTTATTTTCTTTGGTAGAGAAAATGAATTTTGGGGATAATTTTTTACATGCACTTAAAGCTATATATCAGCAGCAATCTGCACAAATTGTTGTAAATGGGGGATTGACTGAGAATTTTAATATTCAAAAAGGGACAAGACAAGGATGTCCATTATCCCCATTGCTATTTGTTTTAACATTGGAGATTTTATTGATTCAGATTCGGGAATCAAAGTTAATTAAGGGTGTAAAGATAAGGAAGAATGAGTATAAATTGCGGGCATTTGCGGATGATTTGGTTTTAATTTTGGAACAACCGAATCAGGCGATTGATGGTTTGTTAGAACTTATAACACAGTATGGGAATGTTTCTGGTTTTAAAGTTAATAATTATAAGACTAAGATATTATCTAAGAATATGTCAGTTAAAGAAAGGGAAAGTTTGATTAAAGCCACAGGTTTTCAGATGGTAAAAAAGGTTAAATACTTGGGAGTATATCTAACTGCTTCAAATGGAAAATTGTATAAGAACAATTACGAACCACTATGGGCAAAAGTCCAAAAGGATTTAAGAGATTGGAAAAAATTGCAATTGTCATTGTTGGGGAGAATTTCAGCTGTAAAAATGAATGTTCTACCAAAGTTTCTTTTTTTGTTTCAGATGATACCTATTCTTAAAAAAGAGGCAAATTTGGAGGAATGGCAAAAGGGTATCAATAATTTTATATGGGCCGGGAAGAAACCAAGGGTTAAATTTAAGATATTACAGGATGCTCGAGAAAGAGGGGGACTTAAGGCACCTAATTTGAAATTATATTATGATGCAGCCGCCCTAACTTGGTTAAGTGATTGGCTTAATTTAACAAATATGGATATTCTTTTTTTGGAAGGTTGGGATTTAATATATGGTTGGCATGCATATTTAATTTTTAATAAGAAAGTTGATCGGACTTTTAAATCACATATTTTGAGGAATGCCTTACTTCGTGTTTGGAAGAAGTATTATTATAGATTAAATTATAAAATACCTATCTGGGGGATTCCCAGACATGCAATTGAGGGAACTTCTAAGGGGACAAATTTTGACAAAATCTCGTATAAAGAATTGTTAATTCGTTCTGGTTCGAATTGGCATTTGAAATCCCTAGATGTACTAAGGCAGCAAAATATTCTACAGTAATGGTTTCAATATTTACAAATAATGGATAGATGGACTGTAGACAAGAAAGAGGGAATAACACTAGAAGATAGACAATTGGTTATTCAGACTAAAAACCAAAGTCCGGCTCATATAAAAAGAATATACAATGTTTTATTAGAGTTAGATTCGGAAACAGAATTGGTTAAAGACTGTATGATTAAATGGGCTCAGAATATACAGGAGCCGATCTCATTGGATTTATGGGAGACAATTTGGATAAGAAATGTTAAATTTACACAAGCTCAAAATTTGAGAGAAAATTTTTATAAAATGTTCTATAGATGGCACTTAGATCCTAAAAAATTATCTTGTATGTATTCCAATATACAGCCCAAATGTTGGAGATGTGGCAATAATGATGCGACATACTTTCATATTTGGTGGAATTGTAAAAAAGTAAAGGCTTTTTGGATTATGATTTGGTGGAACATTCAAAAGATTTTTAGAAAAAAGATAAAGTTTACTCCTCAACTATTTTTACTTGGTATTTTTGTTGACTTAAATGAAAAAGAAACTACTTTGATGTTGAATTTATTAACTGCAGCAAGGTTACTAGTAGGTTTATATTGGAAGAAAGATTCCTTGCCTACTTTAGAAGAATGGATATTTAAAGTATCTAGTTTTGCAGAAATGGCAAAAATTTCTGCTTATTTAAAGGATCATACACAAGAAAGATATATTATTGTATGGGGAAGGTGGATAGATTATATTCAGAAAAAGTATGGAATTAAAAAGTTTCATTTATTTTATGAATGAATTTTAAATATTATAGAGAATTGTTTTATAGGTTATGGAGTTAAAGGTTAATTATGATATTTTTTTCCTTTTTTCTTTTCTTTTTTTTTTCTTTTTTTTAATTATTATAATTTTTTTTTATTATTAACCCTGTATTCTGCTCTGGGAAGTGAAGGGAGGGGGGTTGGGGATGGGGGGGAGGGTAGGCTTTTTTTTGTTTTGTTTTGTTTTTTCTTCTACTTTAAAATTTTATTGTATTTTTATAAATGATTGTATGTTTAAAAAATAAAATTTTTTTAATAAAAAAAGACATTCCAGACCATTCCTCAAAAACTTTAATTTTTATACATGACATACAATTTGAAAAATCTAACAGTATTTAGCAATATAAGCTACATTATTGATTAGCTTTAATTATTTAAAATATTTTTCAATCTCCAGACAGGATATTTAAATGCGATTACAATAAAAATAGATAAATGTAATAACAAAATGCACAATATAATAATGATCATTACCCGGTTGCCAGTGTGAATACTAATCTTTAAAACACTTCAAAGATAGCACATATTTTCTTTCTAGGGAAAGGCTATTTCAAATAATGGGTGCTGATGGCCTTTGCTTATAAGACCTCTCTCTAGATAGGCATCAAGTGAGTATTTACAGGATATGATACAACTAGAAGAGTCTCTGAGGAGGCAAAAAACAATGAAATATAGCATAATTGTGCAAAAGTAATGCCATTAACCAGATATGACTGAGCTGTAATTAGAGGCCCCTGCAACTGTTTATTTCTTTAATTAGCAACCATGCTGATTTGGAAGTAATGGTAGTATCAAATAAACCAAGTTACAGTATAATAGACGACATGAAGAAATATGTCAGCAAGGATTCCATTAAATTATGTTAGTTTATCTATTACACAGAATTAGCACTTAAATACACTTCAAAATCTATCATTTATAAGCAAAGGCTTGTAATTTCCCAAGATAGGGAGGAATCAAATTAAAACTGGCAATTTGTTTACCTCACAAAGCTAACCCCATATATAAAATCAATCCATAATAAATGCCAGGTTTCCAAGTGTTCCTGCATATATGAGAACTGCAAAAATAATTCTGCACTCAGAATATTATTTTACCTCTGCGCATCACTGATAAAAACTCTTCAAGATTTTCCCAGAACACTGTGTCCCTAGAATTGACACTTTGTTATTATTATTACTCACCAGCAAAAGAAAAAATTTCTCTAACTGGGGCCCCATGGGGGAATATCAATCTGGAGGTGGTTGATTGACTAACAGGAGCCATGGTGGCATAGTGGTTAGAATGCAGTATTGCAAGCTAACTCACTGCTCAGTGCCAGGAGTTTGATCCTAACCGGCTCATGGTTGATTCAACCTTCCAGCCTTCCGAGGTCAGTAAAATGAGATTGTTGGGAGGCAAAATGCTGACTCTGTAAACCACTTAGAGAGGGCCGGTATATAAAGAACTATGGAGCGGCATATAAGTCTAAGTGCTATTGCTTTTGCTAATATCAGTTCCCATCTCACCCCGTGTATTCTTCTCATTTTCTCCTCATCTTTAATTATAACATATTTTACTGCAATTTTACTGTGATTTTATACATTTATACATATATTTATGGTTTCATTTTAATGCTGTAAACTGCCCAGAGATGGGAAAGCAAATTTAATTATTATTATTAATAATAATAATAATAACAACAGGAACAACAACGATAATAATAATAATGAAAAAAATCAAGTTGCAGCTTAAGATCAGAGCAATTCCCTGTACCTGTTAAGAGTTCTAGCTAGATACTTTGTCCCATTGCGGTTGGCTAAAGAGGGATACTTCTTCTGGAGAAAACCATATTCATCACGAATTGAATCGGCCACACTCTTCTTGGTGTTGATATCCAGCTGACTCCTGCAGGTTAATGAGTTGAAGTACTTCTTGTGAATACTTTAATAAAAGATCCCATCTTATTCATCACCAATCGGAATTGACCATTGCAGCATATGATCTAGATCTTATTCCTATTCTTTTCCTGTTGATGGCCTATCAACAGAGTGTTTTATTTTGGATTTGGGGTTTTTTTGCTTTCCATGCAAAATTGCAACCACAATATGACTTCTGCTGCTTTGCCTATATCAGGGGTGTCAAACTGACGGCCTGTGGGCCAGTTGCAACATACAGAGGCTGTGCCCACCCGAGCTCCGGCAATGCAAAAAAAGTCACGACACGTCGTGACACGTCACATGACACGGCCAGTTTGACACCCGTGGCCTATATGATTGTCTGACAGACCTGGCATAAAACTTTTATCAATATAGGATCTACATGATGCCAAATCCTAACTGTGCTTTCATTCGTCTTATCTGCTGTCACAATTTCCCTTGTCTTGTCATTATGCCAGACGTAGGAATACACTACTTATATCAGACCCAAGCTGGGTTTCCCAGCACTAAGGCATTACTGACAAACTTTGACTTCACCCCTCCCAGTGAATCACCATTTGCATTCTTCAGGAAGGCCAAGTTGTCACCTAACCTGTTAAATGTTGCCCATCTCTTTTCTGTATCAGAGGCAAAGGAACAGGCACTTCTGGGGATAAAGAGTGTGGGGGGCAGGAAAAGGATGCCCTGTATGCAGGGCAAGGACATGTGTGTGCCCAGTTTCTTCAAGGTTGGAAAAGTTAACGGGGGAGGGGGAAATGTTACTTGCTATTTATTGTTATTTCTATTTTGGGTCCCATCCTACAGTGGTGTGTGTTTTCTGTTTCAAAATGACTGCAGAAAAGAAATATTTCCTAGCCGCTAGTTTACACAACATAAAAGTTTGAGAATATTAAGTTATCCACTACCTGCAATAGTTTTACTGATCCCTTAATGGCAAAATGTGGGGATGAATGTCTGGGAGTGTGGGAATAAAAAGACTTCTTTGAGAATCAAACTCTCATTCCGCTCCACACTCACCTGTTGACCACACCAATGATGCCAAGCTTCACGGGTATTACTCTTCCCATAAGCACATCCATGGCATCTGTGCCAGCATCCATGAGATCCAGCTTTGTGATCACAGCAAGGGTACGCCGCCCTATCAGAGCGGCAGGAAAACTGTCATTTACATTAAGCTGGTCATGTATTTAATTTTTCAAGGCTAGGAAATATCTACCCAAAGCAAAAACAAAACAAGGAGGAAAGGGGGAAAAGGGGGGGAAAGGTATAAAGTTGCCCATTAAACAAGGCCACGCAAAAGGGAAATTCACTATTTAAATGTTGAGCCATTCTCTGATTTAAAGCAAATTGTAAAGTTACGCTAAGCTGCCTCACGCAGAGTGCCAGGTTAAGAGTTTTTCTGACTTGTAGTTTCTTATAATCCAGCCAATGTACTGACTGCTGAATCACCATCTCTTGGCTTGTTCTGCCAATAGGAGCTGCCAAGCAAACTAGGAAACCTGAAAACATTTGAACTGGGACCTTTTTGGCTTGATACCGACTCTGTCGTGGTGAAGTACATTGTGTATAAATTGTTTATCTTTATTAAACAAATATATGTTTTAATTTCTAAATGTAACAGTGAACGATATAAATGAAACGTTCTCTATGTCTCAAAGACGTTTTAGTAAAAAAGCTAATGATAATTTGCAGCAAGTTTGTACAGAGCAAAGCATTGAAAACAAATCTCTGTTGCTTTAAAGTTTAATAACTAAAACAAAACAGAAACAAAATCAGAACATGGAAGCAGAAATACATCAAAATATAATAAATTAACAACAGCATACATTTGCAAAGCAAAACACTTCCCGACTTGAGACAATTGTTCTAAGTTTCATAAACTAGGATTCATAAAGTGAAACAAGCTTCAGGGTTAAGCATTCCTCCTATTCTGTTATTTATTCTATGCTGCTTCCAGGTACCATTCACCAGGTCAAACCTGGCTTGTATTAAGCGAGGGCTCAAATCTGGTGAAACACTAGCCTGATACTTAGTGTCAATAAAGTTAATGAAACAAGCAGGGAGCCACGGGAAAGAGTATTTCGCCTCCCCCATTTTATATACAATTCTGTAATAACCCTTGAACAGTAAAACACCTTCCCAGCTGTTCTCGGTAATTTGTGGGACTTAGCCCTGCCTTTTGTCTGAAATCTCCCAATCAGAAGATACACTGACTCAACAGAGAATATGAATTTTCTAAGAACAGATGTTATTGCAAGGTGACATCAAACTATCAACTGGGCTTCAAAATATTGTTTCCTGGAGACAGACAGACCATCTGGAATATACCTTTATACTTACCATCTGGATCTACCTCTCGGGCTATTTTCAGTGCTTCAGAGGTGGCCATGTCTGTGTTGGCAGCAGTGACTGCCAGAATAATTGAATTGGGGTTACTAATGAAGCGAAGGATTAGTTCTCGGATCTGAAGTTCAATATCTTTTGGCTGATCACCTACAGGTACCTAGGAGGTAAAAAATTAAACCAATTGAGTAGGGAGAATCCCTATGAATCTTTTTCTTTAGAGTCACATAAGAAACTAAAAGTGTTTGTTTAAACTTCCCAAATCTCCAACTAGTATAGCTGCAATGTTAAAAGTTGTATTCAAACAATGTGGAGGATGCCAATTAGGGAAATGCATGTAAGATGACTATTTGAAGAGATCTGTGCTGCAGGGTTACAAGAAAGAACTTCATAGAAAAGTATTTCTCAATCTTGGCAACTTTAAGATGTGTGGCATCGTGTGGTTGGGGAATTCTGGGAGCTGAGGTCCACACATTTTAAAGTTGCTGAAATTGAGAAATACTGCCACAAATAGTAGTGCAGACTGATGATGTAGACATAGCTAGGATCCCAGTAAGAATCATTTTGAAAATAAGTGCAATACAGTATAATTTTCTATCTTACAATTTTGCAAACCTAAAAGTGCAGTTAATATATTCTTACCTTTGTCATTCCTGGTAAATCTACCAGGGTCAGGTTGACAACATTAGGTGAAAAAATCTTTAGGTGAATTGGTTCAGGACTGATTCCCTACAGAAAAAGAAGCCAAGAATAATGTCAGAACCAACGTTGGGTTTAATGGTAAAGCAGCATCTCCCACCTTCTGGATGTACTGGGATCACAATGGCTGAAAATTATGAAAACTGCCATTTCAATATATCTGAACCAGCTGCTGTAATTTTTACTGAGCAAGCTCCCATTTATTTCAGTTGCACTTCTGGACCTCAGCTGTTCATAAACTAGCACACAAATTTATATACTCTGAGTACATTAATATTCTACATAGATTCCCCCCCCCTTAAACTTGGCTCATATGCCATTTTCCTTTAAATGTGACTGACAAAAATTCCTTTTTTTTTAAATGCTAAGAGGAAAAACAAAGCAAACCTTTGCACTATCAAGGGTAAACTGCCAGGGATGACATCCCAAGCTACAATTTTAGATACTATGCGCATCATAATCAGTGGCACATTCGGTTTCTGGACAAAGAAACTTGAACATAGAAATCAAGATTAATGTTGTGTGACTATTTGATCAATGGGAGCTTCCAGTTCATGCGTTGAAGCAATCCTTATTTGCAAAATATAATAACGTGAGTGCCTACCTTATTGTTTCCTGAAATCCTTTCAGTTTCATTTTCTATTTCTTGTCTAATTTCATCAAAATCTGTGTAGAGCTGAAATAGTAATGAAAAAGCAAAGGAGCTGAAAGCCTTTTGCAAGTGACTCTATTCTTGTCAGCCTATTTATTTGGATGTTTACAGGCAACTTAAGTCATAATAATTATTTAACAAGTTAATATATCCAATTCAATAAAGACGAAGAAAGCCATAACCCAGGGACTAATACATTGACAGACAGGATGACAGTGTTCCAGTGAGGGACAAGTGTTGTGTTACAGGAAGCACGTCAGCTGGGTACCATAGAGTATCACTGGAACATGCCCACTTCTGTTTTATCTTTCTGGAAGGGCAGAAACAATGGGAAAACATGGTCTCTCTAATAACGAGGATCTATGCCATCAAAGCTTTATAAGTGACAACCAGCACCTGGAAGCTGAAGGGTAACCAGTGAGTTCATATAGCAGAGATGCAAAACTGCTATTCCAGATTCTTAGTGATTGTGAAAGAATATATTTAATATTCCACATGCAAGCTGATTGTGGCTTGAGTGACTATGACAAGGGGCTCCTATTCCAGATAATAACACAACTGGCACTCCAATTTAATCTGGGCAAAGGCCCCTTTGGCCAGTTCTGTTTGAGGGGAGTGCTATCCCAATCTGAACTACAGATGGAAAATCCATGGCACTAGGGAAGCCAAAAACAGAGTCATTCAATCTTGTCAGTTTTGAGAGGAAGAAGGTGAAGATTAGAGAGATACAGCTTTATTTTTATTGCCAGAAAACCCTCTTTTAACAACTTCCAAGGGCAAGAATGACTGTTCTACACTCGGAAATGAAAGGCAGTTTTCTGAAGCTCGTACTGTTGCACTTTTTTCTCCTCTGTTAGGGGCTGTAGTTTGGTTGCATTACAGGTAGTACTCATCTTATGACTCACAATTGAGACTGAAACTTCTGTTGCTAAGCAATGCAGTGTTAAGTGAATTGTGCCAATCTGATGACCTTTGTGCCACAGCCATTAAGCGAATCACCATGGTGGTTAAATTAATCACATGGTCATTACATGAATCCAGCTTATCCCACTGAAGCTGGTTGGAAGCTTCCTCAGAAGGTAACAAATGGCAATCACACATGGTTCCAGGATGTTGGAACAAATGTAAAAACATGCCAGTTGCCAAATGCCAAATTTTGATCATGTGATCACAAGGATGCTATAAATGTCCTAAGTGTGAGGACCAGTCATAAGCCATTTTTCCCAACACAGTTGTAATTTAAAATGGTTGTTAAATAAATGGGTATAGGTCAAAGGATTATCTGCATTGCAGCTTTTCTGCAAAACTCAAGAGGAACAATTTGGGAAAACAGGGTGCCCAGTCTGCAAATTTTGCTAAGATAACACCTTCCTGTTTAAAGTACTCGCAAGTGTACATGCAAATCTCGAAGGAAGGTGTTTCAATACTTTATCCAAAATTTGTGTTATGATTGTTGAAGTACATAATTAGGGAAAATGACACTCTCTAACAAAACAACAAAACTGTACAGATTTAGGATAGACAAGAGGACCTAGAACTCCTGTTTGATTTTGCAAATTGCCCATTTCGCCTAAATGTAGACAGAAATTGGGAAAACACAGGAAATATTTGAAGAAGCCAGCTTAGCTTGTCTGCAAGCAAAACATTGAACACAGGACTAATCTTCACTTATTCAATTAGCTATAGTTAAAACAAGTATGGCCTATATATACACTGTGATCCAGCCAGAATCAGAAACCACAGGGTGAAACAAGAATCACACTTATACCAAGCATCACACAGAATTTGCCTCATGCACACATGAATGGCTAGTTTGAAAACCCTGGCATTTTCAAGGAACTGCATTTTCACCCTCAATGCTTTCATTGATCCCCCTTAAAAAGCTGTTTCAGAACCTTGTTCTGAGCTAACCCATTGGCCATCTCTATCTTCTATTTCTTTTTCATCGTGGCCTTGAATGCTAATGGATGACTGTAGAGGAATCAAAATGATAGACTTCAGCCATCTTAAACAGCAGGTGCTAGCAATCCTCTTCATTACTACAGATCATGAACAGCAAAGCCTACCTTGTTTTTGGTGTGTAGAAATTTTCCCCATTCTTCAGCATCAATCCCTGAAAAGAGATCATCATGGCATGAGATAAGAGGTGGGCAACATAAACAAAGTTGCCCATCTATAGTTTCTTGAGCTATGCTCTTTCAACTATTTGAGGTGAAACTAAAAACAAGCAACATTAGTCAATTATACACAAAAAAATTAGCATTTACAAATAATGTGCACTCTACTAAGAACTGGTAATACCATAAACGGCTCCTTCTTCTATTTAGATCCATTTTAAGCCAGTCTTTGAAACAGCTACAGAGCAAGAAAGTACACCTGTGTGTGCATTTTTTTCATATCATCAATGGAGTTAAATAGACAGCTGATAAAAGTCATAAAACTAATAACGACTAGGCAAAATCTTCTTGCTTGATATGTAACTTGGTCATAAACAACTACAACTGAATTGGGGCCATTATACAAGCAGACATACAAGAGAATGCTTCTGTTACCGTGTTTATCTATATAGGATCTTCTGCAACTCCCTTGTTTTACATGCCAAGAAGAAAGTTACTATAAACTTTCCAGGGGAGAAAAGGGACAAACATTAAAAAGGGTAATTATAAAAGTATTGAGTAGATGTCTAAGGCAGCCCAACGCTTCTGTCAAGGAATTTCATACCTCCTGACCCATTTCAATTCTATGCTCACTTTTATCCTTATATTATCCATAACTGTGGCTTCCTTGGATAACAGTTAAGAATATTCCCTTCATAGAAACATAAGTATCCAGATTTTACCTTATAATAATCTGTGAATGAATATCTCTTTTTGTTTTTTTTAAAAAGTGACTTGTCCAAAGCAGTATTCTCAGCTTTTAATGTGCCAAATAAATTATAATTCTAGTTCTGAAACTTATAGTCCCAATTGTCCAACTGTAACATTTATTGGGTGCCCATATAAATGTTAGATATAAAAATAATGTAATATGTACATTATCTAATACATATTAAAAAATATAAACATCTGGGGAGAAACTGCTTGGAAAACATTAGCTTGGAGGCACTTGGTAGCTATGGTCAAAATTCATCCTAATTTGATGAATCTTGTTTAATAAGAAAAGCATGCTGATTTTGTGACTCTATTTTAAAGCAACTTTTTAAAAGAAAGCCAGTTTTTTGGGTGGCCTGCAGATCCATCATGAGAACAAGCAGCTTTTCCAGAAACATTGGCAGATACAAAACAATTTACTTGCAGATGGTTTCTCAAATTAGCCTATGTCACATTTCCATGACGCTAGACAGTCTTCTTTTTCCAGTACTACTTATTGCAATTATTCACCATTTACTGCTTCCAAGAAATGCACACTACCCATAGCTTGAAGGAAAAGAAGAAAGATTATAAACAGTTATGTTCAAGCATTATACCACTTTCCAGAAAAAGGATAGATTTCTAGTTAGGTTCTGATTTGACACAAATGCAGGCAGAGAGATGAAAAGTTCCAGATTAAGGCAGCCAACCAAAACCAGAGATTTAGCAGAGCAGCCAGCGTGTGAATGCACAAATACAAACAGCAGGCAGCAATAGATGGTGACATGGAAAGCTGGTGGCTGCACTACATAAATAAGCATGCAAATTCCATGTAGTGGGAAAAAGAAGTGAATAGGAAACCTTTAGAAAGGTGCCTTGAATGTTTCCATGTTGCAGGGTCTGCAGTTAAAAAGAAACAGCATCAAAGGTTTAGTTCTACAGAGGGTTGTCTTGTCTGTTCCCTGCCCCTTTCAGATCTCTCTGTGTTACTTCAAGTTACGGGTTTTTATTAGTCCTGCAAAAATTACAGCATGCACAAAGACATAGGTACTGACAAAGAAACTATTAATGAAGTCAAGATTTCATCTGAAAAGCTGTAGGCATCAAGCAGATAATCATCAAAGAGGTGAAAGGCTTGCTGACTTTGAAATGACCAATTAACTCTCTTAAATCTTATATCATGTAGTACCTCCATTTACCAAAAGCAGAATTAAGCACCAGAAAACAGAACAGAACCATCCATTTTTTAGAATGCAGAGCTAATGTCCCAATTTGGGTTAATGTATATAGACATCAACATGCTCATATACTGTAGCTGTACAATGGTTCACTGTCAAAAAATGTTTACATGAACTCTATTATAGGCTGCCTCAGCCTGAGTCCCTCTGCACAGGTAGTCCTCACTGAATAAACACAATCACATTATTCAGTTCCATGTTCACTAAGAGGAAGATCATGTAATTGCAACAGGTTTAACAACATCACCTCCCCTTTGGTTAAGTGAAACATCACATGACCACAACTTATGATTCTCCTGTCACCTTCTTTATTAACTGTTTGTTCCAAGCCAGTTGCAAAGCACATAAATGGAGACCCAGTGACCAGCGGATGCTGCAACGGTCATCAATGTGTGCCAATTGCAAAGCACCCAAAAGGCAATCACGTGACCAAAGGGCAGCATCATAAATGCAAGGCTTGATTGCAAAGGGTTTTTTTTACACTGTCATAATGTCAGTTACTGAACAAGGCAGTTGATGAGCAAAGACTACTTGTATATATTTGGGGACACTACTAGAATTCCCTGCCTACATCAGGAAACTGCAATATAAGACTGATTCATATACTGATGATCTACAGACATCACTGTCACAATCCATGTAATTAAGCCAATTAAAAGTTGGTGGCTGCAATTTACACAATATACTAACCTTAGTAAGTTTTAACACTAAAGCCAGTTAAGCATAATGGTTACAGAGGTGGATCAGAAACTGGAGACTATGAGTTTCAGTCCTCCCTTAGTATGAAAAGTTTTGGCTAGTCACACTTTCTGTTGACCTAACGCTCTTCATAACACTGTTGTGGTAGACAAAATAAGAGATGGGCGTATTATCAATATTGTCTTTAGGTATACAAGAGAGAGAATAGGATGTCATCAATAAAAAATGACAGATTATATTGCAACATAATTAAATAGTGTTGATTTAAGCATCCACAATTGAGGGAAGTTTACTTTTTCAGGTAGCTCAATATAAGAGGCTCATAGCTCTCTTTCTCTCTCTCTCTCTCTCTCTCTTTCTCTCTGTGTGTGTGTGTGTGTGTGTGTGTGTGTGAGAGAGAGAGAGAGAGAGAGAGAGAGAGAGAGAGAGACACTCACTAACTTACAAACAGACACACTTAGAAACAGAAATACAACCTTACTTGTGGGGACAGATCTCAGCTGGAGTTAGCAACCCTTTGCAACTGGGAAATCCAGGCACTACATAGAATTTATATTTGGTTTCCTTCTATTTTTTTTCCTTTTTGGAAAATAAATGTCTTAAAGTCAGAGTCATCCTTTTTTCATATAAATGCAGTAACTAGGATTATTTGCTCTGTTCTACGTGGTTCATTCTCACTGCATTTTATTCTTTTCTGATTTAATTTCTTTATAAATTTTGCCTAAACTATCAAATAAACAGGCATATAAAACATCACAATCTGGCTAAACTCAGCACCCAGTACCTTCAACTGTGGATGCAGGAAGGTCTTTAAAGTTCTGATGGTTACAGACTTGTTCAGATGTCCTTTTAGGATTTGTCCTGTGACCCAACATGTGGTTCACATCAGCTTCGCTACATGCAGTACACCTGATACATTTGATCCACCATCCCTAACCAATTCCCTATTGTTATCTCCTCTGACTCTGAAATGCCATGGAAAACAACAGAAGAGATTGATTATTGTCAAGAATGTGGATCGTATCATGTTTTCTGCATTCAGGCTACAGTGCCCTTAAATCTGGCTTCCCACAGTTCTACAAAATGTAATTCAGCCTGACAAAGATTAGCAGTCCTTAACACAAAACAGATCAGAGCTTATGTACCTATGGACTAAGCAGGGGTCAGCAACCTTAAACACTCAAAGAGCCACTTGGACCCATTTCCCAGAGAAAAGAAAACACTGGGAGCTGCAAAACTTGCACTTGCGCAAGGGGGGGGGAGCTTGATTGAAGAGTTTAATTAAAAAGAAATAGAGACTGCTGTGCATGAGTTATCTATCTATCATCTATCTCTCTATCTTCTGCTCACCTGGTAAGCTGGCCTAATGCTGTTCTTCGACAAGCTGATACACATTCTTATTGGGCTGGCTCTCTCCTGCCCTTGGTTTGCCAGTCCTCTTCCCCCACTCAGTGTGTGTGTGTATGTGTGTGTGTGTGTGTGTGTGTGTGTGTGTGTGAGAGAGAGAGAGAGAGAGAGAGAGAGAGAGGGAGAGAGAGAGAGGGAGAGAGAGAGAGCGCTGATGCTTTCTGCTGCTTCCTGCAGCAAAGGCAGGAGCCCCACCCAATAAGCTTGTCAGCTTGTCCGAGAATAGCATGAGGCCACTCTCTTTTACACACACACACACAGAGAGACAGAGAGAAGGGAAGCGCAAGTGCTTCTCTCTGTCTCTGTCTCTCTCTGTGCAAATGGCGGAGGAGGGAGCCGCAGGAGAAGGCTCAAAGAGCCACATGTGGCTGCGGGTTCCCGACCCGTGGACTGAAGTCTCTTGCTCACAGCTTGTCTACCTAAATCAAAAAAGAAAACAGAACATGCACACTTGGTAAGCCATTCCATCACAGTGTTGTAACACAGAAAAGATTCTAGGGCTATCCATGAAGCAGAGTAGAGGCATAAGTATTAACCACTAATCCAGGGGTCCACAACCTATGAGCCACAGCCCACTATCAGGCTGTGGCCTACTGGCCACCAGGCTGTGGGACAGGCTGGCCAGTGCACACATTCACCCCCACTCATGATAGCACCGTCGCTATGCAAACGGGTCACCGCACAGCAAAAATAGGGCAATGCTAGCGCTCATGCGGCAAAAATGGGGCAGTGCTAGCGAGTGTCATGCGGGTGCTAGCACCGCCACATCTGCGTCACACGTGCTCACAGCCGTTTGTGTGTGCACATGCGCACACGCATAAAATGCTTCCCCCTTCCTTTCCCTCCAGTCCGCCAACTGACAAACATTGGATACCTCTGCTCTAATCCTTACCTTTTGCACACTTCATTAATAGGGTTAATAAGAACAAAGTAATACAGAGATTTCTTCATTAAGTGTACAGGAGATTGTAGATTGCAGTGGTTTCACGTTCTTCAATTTAAAAAGCTGCCATTAAAACCAATGTATTCAATATCTTCAGAATACATAAACTGGGTGAGGAAAGGGAATTGCTTTTTATTAAATTCATAATCAAGGGCTACAAATGCATCCTAATGAAAAAGGCAGGACTAGAGAGGCTTTAAAAACCAATGCAACATATAGCAGGTACAACTTGATTTCAGCCAAGAATTTTGTGAAACACTTTAATATGCAGCAATTTTTTTAAGTGGGGCTTAAAAGCATTTATTCAGACCAGACAATTCCCCAAATCCCAGTTGTTATTAAAGGAAGCTTTAGTAAAAATTCAACTGTCTGCCAGATATTATTCACCAACAGTGATCTCTTCTCAAGTAATCTAGTATACAAATGCAGCAAATAATGTTTTTGAGGGTTTCTAATAAATTTACTATGGGATATATATTTATGCAAAATTTCCTCCACCAGTGAAGCCAGCTGCAATCAATAAAGTATATTTTGTAAGGATGGCAAAAATTTGGTATCTTTCTTTCATCATCTAAACTTTTTAATTTCAGTACACTTCTCAAGGTATTTTTCAGAAATATATTAGCCATACAAATAATATAACTTCTTGATCTTTTTTTTCTTTCCATAATAAGAATAGATTCAATATATTCCACTTTCCGTGTTGCCCAATTAAAATCATTTTCCCGGAAGGGAAAATTGTATTTTCTTAATCTCCTGATTAAGCATGAGGCACTCAAACATAAATAAGAGAAAGGATGATTTTTCAAGAGGACAAACTCTTTCTTTTACAGTAAATAAATGTTAATAGAGCTCTAGAAAGTACTAATCACTGTTTGCTCATAATTGCTAGTCTCCTTATTCTTCCAAAAATTATTTGTTCAGCTATATGTAAAGAGGCCAAAGAGCCAAGCCCATTATCCTACCATAAACAGGGTGGATTTGATTTAAATCATAATTTTTTAAAGAGCAACTGTCATCTCCTCCTCTGACCCGCTGTTGACTCACCAACAGTCCCATTCACTTTAATGGGACGGCTGGTGATGGGGCAGTGAAACAACAAGGTGAGGGACGTGGCGGGCAGCGAGTGGATACCCACCAACAGGCACTGCCATGATGGATCTGAGATGACAGGTGCTCTTTAAATGTAAGGATTCATTCTTGCTGGAAGTTAGAATCTTTAATATTATTATTTGCAAACAAAATGAAGATTTCCTATTTAGAATAATAAGCTGTCAGGTTAGTAAAATAGCGATATCAGAACCGATTTTAGTTAATAGGTTAAACACATACCCTATTTCCCCGAAAATTAGATCTACCCCAAAAATAAGATCTACCCTGATTTTGGGGGGTGGGCCTAATATAAGCCCTACCCCCAAAATAAGCCCTAGTTAGGACCCTGCCCACTCCGTCCCACCTTGCTGCCACAATGGGGTAGGAGAGCACGTGTCATGCCGCTGCCACAAGAAGACAGGTGGGGGAGGGAATGGAACTGCCCCACATGCCCTGCACCCGCTTACTTCAGCACCCCCCCAGCCAGGCCATTCCTTGCTCAGCAACCTTCCCCTTCACTCCCCTCCCGAGCCGGGCTACCATGCTATGGAGCATGAGCGGGATAGGCCTGGTCCCACTCCGCCATTTCGGAACCGGGGGAATGACGGTAAAAAGCTCCACTGCTGTCGTTTGCCGCTGGAGGAGCTTTCTTTTTTTTATTAAAAAGTTTTTTACAATTAAATACAATTAATACAATTAAAACAAAAATGGACAAGCGTGACATTCCAGAGTAAGTATTCCTAACAGTTTGTTTCTCATGGTACAAAAACTTAATACATCATTCTTAACCTTTATATAAGCCTCATCCTTCTATGTAATACAATTAAATATACAATTATATGTACAGTTATATATATATTTCAATCCTATCATTAACTTGAGATCCAAGCAGTTCTCCTTAATTCATACCAACGGTAAAATTTGTCCCAGATTTCAAAGTATTTGAGTTCTGTCTTGTCCTTCATAATCATTTTAAGCCTGTGCATCTCAGCACATGAAAGGATTTTATACAGGATCTCTTCTTCCGTTGGAATTCCTTTATTCCTCCAATTTTGAGCAAAAACCAGTCTGGAAGCCGTTAGAATGTGTAACATTAAATAAAGTACGCCTTTGTCGTACTCGTGGTTATATTTAATAGGAAAAGTTCTGGTTTTGGCTCTACAGCTCACTCTAATATTTCTTCCAACCATTCTTTGATCCTATTCCAAAAATCACGAGCTCGCGTGTTCTCCCACCACATATGATAGTATGTTCCAATTGTCAGATTACATTTCCAACATTTAGAGGAGACATTGGAACACATTTTAGCTAATCTTATGGGTGGGAGATGCCATCTATAGAACATTTTGTAGAGGTTTTCTTTGTAAGAGGTGGCCAAAGTAAGCTTCTCGTTTCTTGCCCATAGTTCTTGCAGATGTGCAGATCAAAATTAAGACCAAAATCCTTGCTCCATTTTAACATAATCACTTTTACTTATTCCTCATATATTGCCTGATCTAACAAATAGTGGTATAATTTTTTAATCATTTTATCCTCCGATCCCAATGTTATTTTATCCAATTCTATTGGTTCTAATTTAATGTCTAACTCTTTTTTATCTTTCCAATATCTCGCCTGCAGTTGCAGGTATGCCCACCATTCTAATTCTATCCCTTCATCCTGGACAGTTTTCCTGGATTTCAATTCCCCTCTTTCATCTAAAATGTTTTTATATGTTATGATCTTATCTAATTGGGTAAATTTTGGGTGTACATATATTTCTAACGGTGAGATCCAACTAGGTATAATTTGATTGCCAAATTTTTGCCCATACATCGATAAGAGCTTATCTAATATAGTGTCTTCGAAAATATTTATGTATTTTATATTTATGATCCCATAATATAGCATGCCATCCTATTTGTAGGTCATAGCCCTCCAGACATAATAGTCTCCTGTTCTTTAATAATATCCAATCTCTTACCCATACTAGTGCTATAGCCTGGTAGTATTTTGCTGGAGGAGCTTTCTTCGTGCTTCGTCCAACAAATTACCTGCCTGGCAGCAGCTGCCCCCTCCTACTCTACCAACTCTCCCTTGGCTTGCGCCGTGATTGGGCAGCGCAAGCCTCCCCTGCTGCCTCCCTCCACCAGCCCTCCGTCACCATCACTGGAGATAACGGAGAACGGGGAGGGGAGCGGCTGTGTGCAGCGATAGTTGGAGAACTATTCAAATTCTATTATTTAATTAAAACACTTAAGAGTCTGGTACAGACGCATTTTTCTTCCATCATACAGTTTGTAGTGTACATAAATTTGCAAACTTTGAACTTTGTTTTATGATTTATCTCATGGTTACTGTGAAATTGTGTGTATGCATCAATGGAGTGCAGGTTAGCTTGCAAAGCTTGGATTCATTGAATGAGTTTACTAAAAATGTAAATATTGCAGAATATACAGCCTCATGCTACATAACTAAGCTCCATTTCATGTGGAATAAACTAAATTATTAATGTATCTTAAATAGAAAACTATATTTAGATAGATTTTTACTCCAAAAGCATTTTATTAAAATACATTTGATAAAAAATTTTACAAAATCCAATTTAAATTTTAAAAATCCGATTTTTATTTATGTATTTTAAATTATTATTATCCACCTTGACCATCAAAAAGGTTAGCCATACTTCCAACACCCTATCTGCACAAATTTAAGGTAGAGATATTTTACACAAACAGGTCCTTCTTTATGTGGGAAAGTGTCTCCAGATGCTGGAGCTCTGAATATAATACAATATAATACTAATATACTCTAACCTGCTCTCAGATATAGTGAAAGTTATCAATAAAATGCTTTGAACATGCTAAAGCAGAAGTTTCCAAACTATCTCAACCTGTGAAACCCGATAAAAAAATTCATTTCCAAAACCCTTATCAAGAGTCAAAATTCTAGTGAAAGAAAATTGGCTGCATTCAAATGAATTTTCTCACCTGCACAGAACCTCTTAACTTTTCACAGAACCACCAGGTTCCATAGAACACTATTTGAGAACCCTTAATCTAAAATAATATTAAAATACTATGCCTAATTTTGATTACCCCAACATTCCATGTCCAAAAAGAAATAAAAATATTTTAAAACACTTACATATATATACCCATATACAGGATAAACATATTCCATTAGATTTTTCTTTCTTTCCCCACATATCCTTTAGACGTAAAATTACTGAATTCCTGTTGCAATTTGCTACCTGTACTTTAATATCAGGATGTATAAAGGGAGAAAATAATCAAAAAACCTGAGGCATAGGAGAAATTTAAGTACTGTTTCTTCTCTGCACTGACTGCATAACAATGGCTCACAATCATCTATTGCCATTTAAATATCCATTAATCTCGCAGGCCTTACCATTTTCATCTCCAGCAGTTTTCCGACATTCTTCTGTTGTAACGTGTACCAGCTGCAGGATGAGGGGCCTTCGAGTAACAATCCCAGTGCCTCTTGGGAGCAGATCTCTCCCCACCAGGCTTTCTAGCACAGAACTTTTGCCACTGCTCTGAAAATGAGAAGAGAGGACTTAAATACTCATGCCACTACTCCAATAACTTTGAACTGAGTTTCCTGCATCTCAAGCAATCATCAATATGAACGCCCATCGAACCACGGGAAGTGAATTTGTCTTTGGCAATCCAGGTTCAAAGGGAGAAAAGGTGATATTGAAGTGCACAGGATGCTTACCGTATTTTTCCATGTATAAGACGCTATTTTTTCCTGCAAACACCCTCTTCAAAAATCAGGTGCGTCTTATACACGGAAAAATAATGGTAACCTCCGCAGCCCAGGGCATGCCTGTGTGGGTTGCCATGCCGCCTGGTGCAGGTGTCAAGCCCGTGTGTTTGCCACTAATGGGAGGGAGGAGGGGGCAAGATCTTCTGACAGCTGAACTTGCGGATTTACCAGCTAAGGTGTTCGGCGCTCCGCCAAGCAGCTGATTGGCGCAGAGAGCGTCTTATACACAGTGCGTCTTGTAGGTGGAAAAATACAGTATGTTGAATCTGCTGACCAGATAGATGAGACCAGAATAATCAGAACTTCAAGGCAAGAGGCTTCCTTAAAGAACATTTTATTTGGCTGCATAGTATCTGCACAATCAAAAGTGAAATCAAGACTGAAGTTCCCTCCCAAAGGTTACAATGTTACAAAGTTGAACTTCCCACCCCAGTATTATGTCATAAATCACATTCCCCAATAATCTACTTTGGCAGGCTTTCTAACGAAAGCTGCAGCCCACCAAAACCCCGGCAATGACCTTGGTTCCCATAGGACAATTTATTGTTTTGTCTAACCTAAAATACACATCCCCCCTCCCAACTCTGTGGCAACCGAAAACAAAGAAAAAAATGGCTTCAGCCAAGTTCATTTGCAACGTTGACACCTATCTTCCGGTGCATAATATGAATATATCAGTCAGAATCAATTGCTAACTAATGATTGCAGAACATTCCTGGTGATGCATGTTTAATGTTACGTTACTGAGTTTCGGAGCAGAACTAAAACTTTATTTCTAGAATCAGGTGTTTGGAAAAGAGTCCTGCGGGGTCTTTCATTGATAGAAAGACAAGAATAAATGAAAAGGAGTAAACATTTTGGGACTTTGAGATTGTGGATTTGTGGATTTTCATGATTATGAAGCCGTTTAATATACTTCGTGCCAACCTGTGTTTCTTTGCCTTCTTTTAAATGTACCTTGCCTATTTAAATCTGCCAGGAATATGAGCATACAAAAACAAGCACACAACTACCACAGAATCTACACAACACTCTCACCTGGATCTGCAATGAGAAGACAACCTGCAAAGTTTTGATGACCCCTGTGTATTCTAGTTACAGAAAAGTAACATATTAAAAATATGATATATGATTCCTTGTAATAAACTCCCTTTAAATACACTTTTCAAATTTTAAATTTCTACTTCACTCATAAGTATGTAAAAAGAACATTTGGGAACAAAAGTTATTACTCCACCATATCAGACTCTTAAGTAGGTAACTTTTAAGCAGCATGAATAGATTAAACCATTATTTCATCAATACCAAACAGTTATCAACAAATCAGTTTCAGAAATTTGATTTCACCTGCAATAAGGAAACCATATCAGGAAGAAAGAGAAAGCAGAAGTCACATTCTTGTACTACAGCGACAATCAGTAGAGTCACTTGACTGCAAAATGGAAAATATTTTAATTTAATAAATATACATAAACTAAATATTTGTTTAATATTTCTGCTTAGTATGTGAAAAACAAACAAAACGTGATGTGGCCCTGCAGTATATTATTAAATACAATTTAACTGCATCCCTTGCAAATGTTTTCATTTGGTATTCTCTGGGCTGTAAAGAATCAACAACTACTGGTAATTACTGTCCATTTCATTTATCATGTATTCCAGTACACCAGTGGTGTCAAACTGCCAGCCCGTGAGCCAGACGTGTCACGAGGAAACCGTGCCCACCCCATTGCCAGCAATGGGGGAAAAGTTCCAATACGTCGCACGATGTCACGTGACGTCGCAAGTTTGACATGTCTGCAATACACAGCCCAGAGAAGGAACAAAGCTATCTTGCAGAGACAAGATATAAACAGAAATAACTTGAATAAGAAATAAGAGTAGCCATGTTGATCTGTTGCAGGAAAAAAAATAACTCATACCTATCTATATTATGACACAGGATTTATGTCTATAAATTAGATAAATTGTATTAGATCAGGGGTCTTCAAACCTGGCCCTTTTATGACTTGTGGACTTCAGTTCCCATAATTTCTCAGCCAGCATGCCTAGCCGAGGAATTCTGGAAGTTGAAGTCTACAAATCATAAAAGGGCCAAATTTGAAGACCCCTGTATTAGATAAATGATGTGTAACCCTGAGACAAAATTATCAGAGAGTAGGTGGTGATGTGTTTAATAGTGATTATTTATTAAAAATTGCTAAGTGGTATACCAGATATTCTTGCGGTTTGGTGGTTAATCTAAGTACATCACGAAGAAAATTTAAATCCAGATCCAAATGACACTAGTGCTATCATTTCAGATTCAAATCCCACTTTAAATTTTCTCTGTTAAAGAATTGCTACTTTAATGTCCTAGAATGCTAAATAGGTCTGAGATCAGAACTGGAGGAAGCATTGAGGCCATTTAGGCCTACAGGCATCATAGCAAAGCATCCCTGACAGATGGTTGGGCAGCCTCACCTGAACACCTGCATGAACTAAACAGAAGACTGTGATCTCTCTGGGTAATTTGTTTTACTATCAAACCACTCTTACTTCTTAAGAACTTACTTCCAGCCTTTGATCAGAAACTGTCTTCCATTAATTTAAATCCATTACAGGTATTCCTTGCTCAACTACCCAAATTAGGACTGGAATTTTGTCATCCAGGATCATGTGATCACCCTTTGCAAACTTCTGACAAGCAAAGTCAATGGAAAAGCCAGATTCACTTAACAACTGTGTTACTGACTTAACCAGTGCAATGATTCACTTAACAACTGTGAGAAGAAAGTTCGTAAAACGGAGCAATATTCACTTAACAAAAGTCTCACTTAGCAACATAAATTTTGGGCTCAGTTGTGTTTGTAAGCCGAGGACTACCTGTATTATGGGTAATTTCCAGTTAGGTTTGCCTCCAGCACACTCCCAACCTAGAGCAAGCACACACATCCTTCATTTCAATTAGCAAAAATATAAACCAATATTTATTTACTAAACATTTAAAATGTTAATTGGCAAGCCTGAAGTAAAACACAGTCCAGAGCAGAGAAAAATATTAATAGCAACCAACAGCTTACATTAACTATAGAAACAACTATAGAACTTTCCCTAGTCCCTGGAAACAGTGCTGTTGGTAATTAGCACATATAATCCACAGACAGTGGCCTTTAGTCATTCCAACCTTAACCCTTTTAGAAGAACACCAAGTGAACCCTCCCCTTCTCTGCACATTAAATAATTTGATGGATGGAGATGACATATTCAACAATGACACATGCACATTCCTATGAGGGAAAGAGGCTTTGGGTAACTAACAAAGTGGAATACCCCAGTCCTTCTTCCCTGCCATATATAAATGAGGTTAGATTTCTATATAATTTTCTTGTAATCTGCAGCATTAATTTAAAGCTTATTTAATATCTTCTCAGGCATCCTAACAGATAAATCTCCATTTGTAAAAGATAGATGCTATCTGGAACATTTTCTTTTCTGAATAATTAAGTTAAATGTTTTTCTTATATGGGATTGGTCTATCTCCCACATAGGGAAGGAAAAGCAGGAACCTTTGGACTTTATGCCTATACATCACAAGACCAGGAAGCCAGATTAGTGAAAACTATTTCAACTATTGTATTATTTTCTTGATCTGGATAGGGAGCACAAGGTGTGTAGTATCCTCTGTGTGACTAATTTTGTCAATCAAAATGCAGCTTTTTTCAACTGTGCCTTTCACATGCATTGGGTTTCAACTTCACATGTTGGATTACAACTTCCATCATCCTAATTAGCATGCTTGAATTAATATAAGCAAAGGCTAGAGTCAGAAAATTTTAATGATAAGCCATGGTTCTCTTTCAGGATGGATTAATAGGAAGAGAAAGAGTATTAGGTATGTTAGCCACCTTGCATTATTTATCAAAATAATAAAGGCAGGGACTTCCGGTTCCGGTTCGCGGCAACTCCGGTCGAGTGAAGAGACTCGTCTCTCCACCGGCTGTGTTTTTTTCGCCGGTAGACCCCCTGATGGGTCGAAAGTCGCCCTGGAGGGGCGACCACCGAGGTGGAGGCTTGCTGGTAGTTGCAGGAGGGCGGCAGCATCTTCCACAGCTCCAGCTAACTCCTTAGGGCTGACGGGAACAAAGATTGTCCTGCAAGATGGCTGAATCCTTAGCTGCACCAGTCAAAAGTCACAGCTACATCTAAGCGTGAAAGACCCACCACGGATGATCCGGGTGAGACCTCTCCTTCTCCTCTCTTCACCCTATTTTATTTTTTGCCTGTAAAAGCTTTGTTGGAATTAATTCCCTGCCTTGAAAGAGCGGCGTTCGCATGTGTGGGACGGTGTCTGAACAAAAGGACAGATCAAGTAACTTTAATGACTATATTTTATTTTCATTTACTTTGGGGTACAGAAAAAAAAAAATTCTTTAGAGCTTTACTATTACTTTATACTGGAAGAATATCTTTTTTCCCACCTTTTCTTTTAAAAGAGAGAGAAAAGAAAAAAATGGTATCTGGGAAAGATTTTGTAACTCACTGAGGACATCTTGTGGCAAAAAGTTAATATTGCAATTGTCTGTTTTTCCTTGGAGATGAGATGGGCTTGACCTTCAAACTTCTTGAAGAGAAAAGATAAGCTGATCCAGCTGTGGGAAATTGTGGGGGTGGATATTGTTTATATATAGCTTCCACTAAAAGATAAAAGGGACTCTCTTCAATTACTATTAAAATGGAGAAACCTTACCTACAACTAAACTATAAACTTATATTGGAAAAAATTTACGAAGCCACTGAAGAAGTATGTGCTAAAATCAAAGAGATTAGTACAGAAATTAGAGCCAGAAGCCTTACTCCAAATTCTCCAAACCTTCAAACTGATCTCCAGACCTCATCTGACTATGCTATAAATCAAAACATACTAGAAGAACAACTAATTGAGATTAAAGAGGAATCTATTTTACCTTACAAGCATTTCATCTATATTCTCGAGGATCAGAAGAACCAAAGATTGAGACTGGAACTTTTGAAGCAACGAAGGTTTAATGACAAAAGAGCCAGACGCCCAATACAGAGAACGGGGTGTTTTCTATCAACTCAAATAATATTACAAGTGACAAAAGGAGATCTACTTGCTGAGATGGAAGCCTTGTTATGGAAACCGGCCTGGCACAAAAAGAAAGCCAGAATAAGACTGAAAAGAGAAATTTAAAACTATATGTAATGGATTAAAAGGCACTGTAGAAATATGGATTGATTTAAGGTTTAAGATTTAGAGTTAGAAGCGAGAGTAAATTTTGTGATTACCAGAATATATATGTTAAATAGATTAAGAATGTAATTCTTGGGAATAATAGGTTTATCTGTATGAAAACTATTTTGTAATGGAATGAATGAAAATGGAAGAGGTTTTATAGTGACTTGGATTGATTTAACAATTAATTGAGTATGCTAAATTAATAATATGATGCTTTGTGTAATAATATGGGTGTTTTTAGACATAACAATTATTGGGATGAGATTTGAATTTTGCCTAACGGACTGAAATGATTTAAGGTTTGATATTATTTTGTTTTGTTAGGGATAGACTGATTGATGGATTGTATATGTATAAGCTAGAGTTATATTTTATTTTCATTAGGATAAATATTGAGTAGTGAATGAAGAAACAAGAGAGATGTGTGATAAAATTAAGTTTAGGAGATTAAGAACTAGACATTTGGAAGGGATACCCGAAGTGATAATATATTTACTTAAGGCTTAAGTAGATTATGGTAATTGTAAATTAATAAAGTTTAAAAACAGGATTAGGATTTATAGAAATTTAATGTAGAAATGGATTATTTTAAATATAGAGAGGGAATATTCAATGTATTTATTTGGGTTATTTTATATGGTTTTGTTGTTGGATGTTTGATTCCCCCAGCACCACGGTCTCGAGCACCTTGTTGTAAGAGTCAAAAAAAACTATCTGAAATTTTTTTTCTTATGATTGTAATGAAAATAAAATAATAAAAATTGAAGAAAAAAAAGAGTCAAAAAAACTAATAAAACTTGTTCTGAAAAAATAATAATAATAAAGGCAGGATATAAATATGAGAAGAGAGTTTCCATTTGATTACAATATACTTTGATCATCCAGTTAAACTATTTTCCATTCTGTACACATTACCCAAATTTTCTGAATAAACATATATCCTAATTAACTCTAATAACTGACATTACATTTCAGTTTTTAAAATGCAACTGATGTAATAGTTAAAGATTTCAATAGATTTGGTTTTCTTCATATATACGTAAGGAGTCTAGACAAGATCCCTTCATTAAAACTATGAGCTACAATGTGTTTGATGTTTGAATTAAGTTGCTGGCATTTTTCTGTTAGTAATTGGTTCTTAAATTATGCTAAGACTACAGCCTTTTACAAACTTATTAACAAGTGTCTGCCAACAAACTTTTGTTTGATTTTGATGAAAAAAGTACTTTTTAAAACTATTCATTTTAGCAACTCTGTTTTTCTTTATTTTAGCCTTTCCTTACTTTCTAGGTTTATTTCATTTTATGTCAGGGCACATGTAGAAATCTACATAATACTTCTATTCCTATTGCAACAAAAGTCATGTTTCTTTGGCCTTTAGGCATTTAGAAATGTATTTGGCAAAGGATTAGAAGTGCCTCACCCAACTAAAATTATATCTCACAGACCTACAAATCCTATTCCTAATTTTACTTTATAAGATTAGTAGATAAGTCGGGCTTTCCTATTTATATAGGCACAAACAGTGCCATGCTTTTCTAACAGGCAGGTGAATGTTAACATTTCTAAATAAAGGCCAATTTTATCTTGCTTGAAATTTTAAATTCATTGACTAAGCTACCCATCACCAATCTGGTGATATCTAAATGTGTTCAACTTCAATCTCTACAATTTGTAGGCTGCTCAGTTGGGGACAGTTAGAATACACTTCTGATTTTAACAAACTCTGAGAGACTCTAAGAAAAATTCCATGGATGAAAATTCTAAAGGGGAAAACAAGTCAAGAAGCATGGGAAACTCTGAAAAATATAATAAAAGCCCAGTCTAGCACAATATCACGGAAAAAAGAAAAATAAGACGACTAAGAAGAAACCAGCATGGTTGCACAAAGATCTCTCTGATAAACTGAAAGACAAAAAGGACAAGTATAAAAAATGGAAAGAGGAACACCTAACTAAGGCAGTATATCAGCAGCTAGCCAGAATCTGCAAAGAAGTCAGGAAAGCAAAGGCTCAGAGTGAACAAAGACTTGCAACAAAAGTCAAAGATAATAAAAAAAGTTTTTCAGCAAATAAATAACACCCCAGAATATAAGCTCAGGATCCAAAAAGATCTTGACAGACTTGAAAAATGGGCCCTATCCAACAACATAAATTATAATGTGGAGAAAAGCAAGGGTTTACATGTAGGCAGGAAAAACCAAAGGCACAAGTACAGATTAGATGAAATCTGGCTCAAAAAAAGTAACTGTGAAAGGAACCTTGGAGTCCTAATAGACAATCACTTAAATATGAACCAGCAGTGTGTGGCAGCAGCCAAAAAAGCTAATACAATCCTTAGTTGTATAAACAGAGGCATAGAATTAAAATCACATGAAGTATTAGTACCACTTTATAAAGCCTTAGTAAGGCCACACCTGGAATATTACATCCAGTTTTGGTCACCACATTACAAAAAAGATATTGAGACTTTGGAAAAAGTGCAAAGAAGAGCAACTAAGATGATTAAAGGCCTGCAAACAAAAACATATGAATAATGCAGGATTTGAGTTTGACTAGTCTAGAGAAAAGGACTAGGGGGGACATGATAATAGTATTCCAGTATTTGAGAGGTTGCCACAAAGAGGAAGGGGGTCAATTTATTTTCCAAAACACCAGAGGGCAAGACAAGAAACAATGGATGGAAACTAATCAAGGAGAGAAGCAACCTGGAATTAAGGAGAAACTTCCTAACAGTGAGGACAATTAACCAGTGGAACAGCTTGCCTTCAGAAGTTGTAGGTGCTTTATCACTGGAGATTTTTAAGAAGAGACTGAACAGCCAGTTGTCTCAAATTGTATAGGGTCTCCTGCCTGAGCAGAGGGTTCGACTAGAAGACCTCCAAAGTCCCTCCTAGCTCTATTCTGATTCTGATACTTTTTTGGTCTATTTTGGGAAATTTATTTTTGGACCCAGGTTACTACCATGTTTATACAACATTTTATAAATAGCCTTTATTTCCATGCTGTTGCCCTCAAATTACATCAATCTGTAGGAGGTGTTCAATTACAGAATATTTTTTTGATAACACAGTAAGCCGGTAGGAAAGAAACAAGGAACCAAGTACCAACACCAATATATGGCATCTGAAAAAGATGGCTGAGACAAACCAAAGATAAGAGGAATCAAAGTTAAGGGTTCATCTAACTGATTTTGACTGGGTGATTAAAATCCAAGCCCTAAAAGACAGAGAAAAAAACAAGAGAACTCAAGGAAAACCCGTATTTTATGGTATGCTTCAGATACTTTTATTTACCGGTAATTTATATCCTACAGTTAAAATGTGTTTTCATTAAATTAAGTCCCACAGATCCAACAATATCCAGGGTGGAACTTAATTCAGACCTACAACTCCAATAATGCTCATTATTCCCTACTGATGATAGGGCTTCTGGGAAATGGGATTTAGCAGATCTACCATGGCATGGAATTATTAGCAATAACTTTTAAAAAAAGACATATTCTTTAAATATGAACAGTGCATAAGCTTGTTTTCCATTTAGAATATATAATAGAACACAAAATCTTTGCTATAATGTGTATACAATATAATGCATTATTAATTAACTAGGTGTTTATATTATCTTAAACACTGTAGTAATTTGATTTGAAATGTTACTTAGCCATAATTCTATGATTCCTGATGTCATCTCAGAGGTCAGAAAGTAAGTTTAGCTTCAGAAAATAAATATGGCTTCAGATTCCCTCTGCTATTCTCCCTTCAACCTCTGTATAATTGCATTTTCCAGTAATGGAAAGCCTGATGTTGAAACAGCTGAAAGCTGGATGCAGGCAGATTGGTTGGATCAATGACTTTGCTGGCTGCAAATTGAGATCTTCAACCTTTCACTGTACAAGTTTAACAGCACCAGAGTAAGATCTCAGTAAATTTAGCCCAGAATATATTATGGAAAAATAATACAAATCTGTTAACCGAAATACTTAAAAAATGTTCTAGAAAATGCTATCCCTTATACATGTATTTGATTCTTTGTCAGTTTGTTTTTATATTTATAATTTTTATATTTCTATATTTATTAAAATGTAAGCTGCCTAGCACCGCTTTGGAAAATGAGGTGACAACTAAATTTAATAAATATATTCACTTAACCTTCTGATTTTCATTTCCCCTAATTTTCATAATATTATATTCCTGGATTCTTACCACTGAGATCTAATCTCTTGTGGTTTCTACAGTTTTAATCCTTATTTATCAATCACAATTTATGCATATTTTCCTCTACAGAACAGAGTGTGGCATTCATATTTTTCCTAGATACTCACCCCAGCAAGCATCTGACAGAATAATCCCTGTTTACTGCATCACCTCCAAACTGTTCTCTGAATAACTTTGTTTTAAAACCCTATCATATTAAAATATTTCTCATTATCACTTTCAAATCCCTCCATAGCACCTTACCTATATACTGTCTATATAAGACTGTATGTGTTTTACAACATGCATTTCCTCATTTATAAAGCAACAGCAAAAAGACCTATTTAACACAGTTGTTGCAGGGATAAGTCTTCCTGCACAGTAGTTCCAGACAGCACATATTGAGACAAAGACCTACAAACTTCTCTTACTTTCTACATGGGGACAGAATGTTCCCATTTTTCCTTTTAGCTTTAACAAGCTCAGGACTTTACCTGCCAATGTGCCATTGCAGAATTTCCAAGCACCTTCTCCCATTCACTTTAAATGTTAGTTAAATGGCTTAACAAACTTGACTAATCCCATCCTTAGGATTTAACATCAAAACAAACCACTAGAGGCCTTCTGATAATCTTAAAATGTAGAGTTAATGCAGCTTTCCCCAAAGTGGTCAGTATCAACTCCAGAATTAATCCCCACTATCCAAGGGATTACTGAAATTATTGTTAGTAGTGCTATCAAAGTAGAATTTATCAAATTATTTATGTTATCAAAATAAATGTTTGGGAACTGATGAACAATCTGAAGGGGTCAATGTGCTGAAGAGTTGGAAGACCCCTGATTTAGAGAGCTATCCCCAAAATTTAAATTGCCAGACCAGTCTCCTGTTGTGTTCCCTTTAATAATTCCCCTTGACTAGCAAATTAAGTCAGGATTGGAAAGAGTCTATCAACAGGCTTCTCCTATTTGGGAGTGACTTCTTTCACACTGGGAGGGGAATAACACGTGGTTCAAAAAAAGAAAGAAAAAGCTTTTATGTCAATACCACTGTTGATCCCACTAATAAACACATCACGACCGGTTACTTATTTATATAAACTTAACCCTGCGCCTCAAGAAGCCTCTAAATACTTCAATACAATTACTAAAGCTCGCGGCCATTCTAAAACAGACCTAACAACTGGAAGACTGCCAATACTAATTACAACTGCAATAGCCATAAATGCATTTTTAAAATTTGCACACCACCCAGACTCGCTGGGAGTTGGGCGGCATATACATTTAGAGAACAACAACAACAACCCCCAACCCCACACATTGCAAGACTCGCATTGGCCGATGAATATTTCCTTCCCTCGAACCCACATCAGGAAAGAAACCCATCTCTCCGGCACCCGCATCCCACTTAACGCTCCGCTCCTCCGCTTGGAGGGCCCCCCACCAAGGGCATCTGTTCGCTTCCTGCCCGGGCGGAGGTCACCCTGGCTCAGGCCCCGCCTGTCTCACCTGCGTCCCGACCACCACGATCTGCGGCAGCTGGATGATATCGGCGCCCACCGTGTTGAAGACGTCCTGCAGCTTGTTAATGACCGGAATCAGCGCCTCCATGGCGGTGGCGGCGGCGGCAGCCAGCGGAGAGGGGAGCGCAGACAGTCCGCAGGGCAGCAATGAATGGACGGGGAAGGGAGGGAGAGAAAGAGAGAGAGGGAGAGAGAGAGGAGAAATAGCCAGGGAAGGGCGCTCGCTCCGCCACCTTCCCCGGCCGCCGACACACGCGCGCTCCCAACAGGCCCTGCGCGCTCTCCCGTCTCAAGATCGTAGCCGGCGTGGGCGCAAAGCATGGCGGATACTGTAGTACGGTCCTTCTGGGGCGGAAAAACTGCGGAAAATTCGTCATGCGCACGTACACTTTTGATAGGTCTTTGATCATCCAGCTTGTACTTGGTTCACTTGGTTTATTTATTTTAAATAGTTGTGAGTATCTGGAAGGAATAATTTCAGAATTATTTTGCTTTTCCATTACTTTCTATAACTACTTTGACGTTGTTAACAAATGAAATTGTTGTAAGTATTCTAATCATTTACTGATATATTTTATTAATAAACGTCAACATTTACGTTTAAAAATGTTATTGCCTATTTCCCTCAAGCCAGAAACAATTACCTTATTTTCCATAGGCATATCACTTGAATAGTACCAATTTGAATAATGTATCCATTTTGTGAGCTTTATTAATTGCACTAATCAAGATCTACCTCTACTGAAGGATTTATGCTTTTCAGCACCAGTAGCTGAAGGACATTAATCCCAAAGGTATTGTATTGCCTGTGTCCTGCTGATAGAATTACTGAAGTCACATGCAAGTAGTCCTCGACTTATAAGCATTTGTTTAGTGATGGAAGTTAAAACAGCGCTGAAAAAAGAGACTTATGACTGGCTTTCACACAACCATTGCAGATTCCCCATGATCATGTGATTAAAATTTGGGCGCTTGACAACTGGCATGTATTTATGACAGTTTCACTATCTTGGAGGTCATGTGATCACTATTTGTAACCTTCCTATTTGACTTCTGACAAGCAAAATCAATGGGGGAAAGCCAGATTCACTTAATGACCACAAGATTTACTCAACAACTGCAATGGTTCACTTAACTATGGTTAAAAAGGTTGTAAAATAGGGCAAAATTCATTTAACTCACTTGCTTAGCAACAAAAATTTAGGGCTTAGTTGTGGTCATAAGTCGAGGACTACCTGTAATGAGAACTGAATGCTGGATTAGAAAGCTCCATGAACTTTCAGTTTTGTGATTCTTTGTAGCAAAATACACTGAACAACAAAGTTTTTCAAAAGTTTTGTTTCCTAAAAAACTTGGTGATTATGATAGACCCCTTCAGATTGAACACAAATATAATTTTAGAATGACTCTATCACAGAGGAAATCTGAGAAATATGAAATTAATTTGTAATGATTACAATGTATTTAATTGCACAATATTTCCGACATGCTACATGAGTATAGCAAGACTAAAAGTGTTTCATTGCTAATTTCAATTTATACTCGATGTGATGAATTTTGCTATAGTATCCATCAGTAGTCAGCCAGCATTGATGTATTCTAATTGCCCTGATATCTTTTTTCCATTGTGGCAATATCCTGGTGAAAATGTTCACCAGGTTTGTCACTGACAGCACCTAGATTTTCAGGAATGAAGTCCAAGTGTGAATGAAGAAAATGAATTTTCACTGATATGTTGTACTTCAAGGTCTTGTATGCAATAGGAAGCTTGTCAACTAGCTGGATTGGTGCTCTGTAGTTGCCGAGAAAATTATCAGAGACATCCTTGAATAGTTTCCAGGCTATTTTCTCTGGCCCCATGATGTTTCTGATCCAAGCAGCAGAGCCATACTTTGAGATCTCCACAGATATTCCAGGTGTACTTGCTGTGCTGGATGTGTTTCAACAACAGTTCCATATTTTTGTATGTTGCTTTTATGTGTGCAGCATATGTAGCCAACAGTTCTGAAGGGTCTATTGTGTAAAAACAGAAAATGTCTATAAAAAGGTACATGATAAATTAAATTAGAGATTGTTTTTGTAATCAGCAGCTAAAAATCTATAAGATATGCCCAAAAGGGTTCAGGAAGCAAAATCTTTGTTGTCCAATGATATTATAAAGAAGAGGAAAAGAAATCCAAAGAAAATTATCAAGGAAGATGATAATTTCATATTATAGTTTGACAAATAAATGGTCAGATTTAGGTTGGAATGTTGAGAGAGACTGTAGTCCAGTGGTTCTCAACCTGTGGGTCGGGACCCCATTTGGGGTCGAACGACCATTTCACGGGGGTTGCCAAACAAGGCTGACCGCCATTTTTCCCCCTTTTCTTTGGCCACGCCCCTGGCACCCGGTGATGTATAAGTGGTTGGGGGTCACCACAACATGGGGAACTGTATTATGGGGTCGCGGCATTAGAAAGGTTGAGAACCACTGCTGTAGTCATTCAAAATGGCTTTACCTGCTCTTGTGATAGCAATAAGGTCATGGAAGCAAATCCCCATTTAAAAAAAATAAAAACATTCATGTTCTAAAATTGAGTAAAAATAAGTAGCAATCTTTATATTAACAATTTGATAATAAGAACTCATAAGAATTGCATTTATTTTATTAAAAAGGGAAAACTCTTTTTTCTTGCTGCAACGCTATCCTTATTCCAGAATCTGCAGTACAATTAATTTTATGGCTTCATTTATTTTTATGGACCATTCAAAGGCAAAGGCAAACTGCTTATTGTTGCTAAGAACACCACAAGGAACCTTTAAAAGGAACTTTTTATATTTTGTTGGATTCCTCTGTTTTAAAGAATTACAAGTATAAAAGAAGTTTGGTAACTGAATACCCCCAAAAGAAATATTCTCATAGAAACCTCTTTTACCAAACCTACTGAGAGGGGTTAAGATACAGAATTTCACAACTGGATTGTGATCACTTTCAAAAACATTTTTATTTTCCAGCCAAGGCACAATTTTTCTTAGCCATAACATCTATTGGATTGCCAGACCACCCCCCTCCCCCAAACTGCTCATCACCTAGTTTCAAAGTTTTGACAATTGGGCACCTCACACTTGCAGTCACATGACCATGTTTTGGATGCTCAGCCACCCACATTTACAATTGTTTGACGCTCCCTGTAGTCATGTAACCTCAATTTACTATGGTTTTGCTAGGAGCTGGCATTTCTAGTACCGGTAAAAACTGGTCCAGAGCAAACAATGGTTTGCTTAATGACTGCCGCATTCATGTTGTGGTTACTGTACTCACTTAATGACTACAATAAAAAAACATAAAATTGGGTCAGTCACATGATGACCCACTTTATGACAGTCACAATTTATAACCGTAATTGCTAGGCTCAACTATGGTCATAAGTCAAAGAGTACTGCTATCATGATCAAACCATCATTGATCATAACTGAGTATCTTACTGAAAGTGTAAGGAAGCAAAGTAATCCTAGAGATATTATTTGTTTGCCAATTAAATATCTGCAATTTTCTAAAGCAAATTTATGTAAACTTATAATATGCAATGATAAATAAGATAAAAGCACTATATTGTAATAAAAACATCAACATTTACAAATCAGAGCAAGCTAAATTTTGTAGCACAAAAGTTTTAAATCACATTTGATGAAACAAGTAGCTCACAAATATATCTCTTTTAATAAAATATGTAGGTACGGCTTCCCTGATACAATATAATAGTTTTATTTGGCTGGCCATAAGTCAATTTTAAAATAAGTAGAATTTTACTTCAGTAGGACAGGACATTTTAGACCCAAAAGTTCAATTGAGTTTGCATTTACACAACACCCCAATCCTTATATTTTGGTTTACAAACTAGATTTACAAACTAGGTTGACTAGGTTCACACAATGCACTTAATTGCAAATTATATTTGTGTTTGTCATGTGTAAACTTATCCATAGGAAATAGTTCCTGGATTTTCCACGAATTTTCACAGTGAATTCTGACACCAATGGACACAAGGACAAAGCTTGGGACACTATGCTTTCCCAGTGTTGCTGTTTAAACTTAAACTTTAAACTTTCTTAGAAGGACCAAAAAGTTTGGTCTACACAGGCACCCAAATGGGGGTTCAAAGAAACATAATAGGCATTTTAACAGAAAATAAAACATTTAATGAATGGAGAGGAACCTTATTCTAAAAGAGTTAAAGGGAAGCTAAACTTTTAACCTGCTAATCTAAGTCCTCTGCAGAAACAGCCCTGGAAAGCCTCAGCCTAAATTGCTAATCAAGAGCAAAGAAAATTCTCCTATAACACAGCTTTTAAAAAGGGAGGGGAACTTGCCTCATTTTGTTCCTCTATGTCCCAGGAGGAACACCTGTTTACCTGCTACCTATTAAGCCAGCCAAACGGGGATCTGGAATAGAGGTTGCAGGAAACCGATAACAAAGGTGGGGATTAGATTCTTGATATTTTGGGAGAAATGGGCTGCATTCTGGCCCTTTAGCTTTTCTTGGATCTGTATATTCTTGTCTGAAGGAACAGTCACTGAGGTAAACCCTGCAGGCATCCACCTTTTATTTGCCTTTCTCTTTAACATTCAATTCTAGTTCCGTTCCAGAGCCTTGATCCGCATAATCAAGACTTGCATTTTTTATTGAGCCAGCCCTCTCATGCCAATAGGGAACTTAGCTTTCATCATATGCCTTAGCTGCCATGTCTAAAAGTATAGACACAGTACAGAGCAGGAGAGGGCTAAATCAAGGCAGAGCGGGACATTCTCTAGAAGAAAGCAGATGGTGGCATATTTACCAATTAGCCTATCTGCCTAGCATAGTAGTAGCAATTCTTATTAGAGTTCTATCCCAATTTGTACCCAGAAACTTAAGGCAGTGATCCCAGCACTCTTTCATTCAGTTATTTCCTCACTACATCCCTGTGTGGTAGGCTGGGATGAAACTAACTGATCAAACATTGTGTAACTGCCAGGGCTGAGGCTGGACTTGGACCTCTCTTCCAGTCTTTGTACAGCACCCCAACTGGTTCATCATAGTGGCTCCTGGGAGTTGCAGAGGGTAGAGGAAGGTTGTGGGGGAGGATTTAGAGACCCCCCCTTTTTTGGAGCCAGGGACACATTCCCCCAAATCCCTCTGCTTCCTTGTGCAAATGGATATTGCAATTAGGCATTCTCCTGAAAATAGTTTGATTTGAGAGTAAGTTACACCAACAGAGAAATCCCCCTTATGCTTT